TATCTCCGTAGCGAAACAACAACTGAGCTTGCCCTTGGTGTAATTGGTCGAGAGAAACCATCAACTGCTTCTCTGGGCTCCCGAACTTCTGTCCTGGCTAGAAATTTGTAAAAGTATCGTGAACGGTTAGGAAAAGAGGAAAGAGGAAAAACAAAAAGGTCAATCAGCCGAAATGATCAGAAGTAGAGAAAGAGCAACGTTAAAGAAGGAGACTCTAACTACCTAGCCTTCCAGCCAGCCCCAATATCCCAATGAGGGGGGAAGGCGCGAAGTCCAACATTACAACTGACCCTTCGGTTCCCATCGCGACGACCGAAAAGCTAGAGACGAGGAACGGACGGAGTCTTCCATTTTGAACTGGGCGGTTTGGGCCATGGGGCCATTTTTGGGAAGTGCTGACGCCTCAACCCCCCTCCCCGGCACAAGATGCGCTTAAAAGGGCCCCAGACGGCTTGTTTCTGGGGACTGTGGGGGGTGTTTTCATCAGTGTCGCATCGCGGCCTATTTTAACTGAAGTATTTCTTGGCGGAGGTGTGGGAGGTGGGTGTCCTTGTTCAGCTTCAACCTTGCAGCTTGTGCCACCAATATTTGGAGATGCATCGCTACATTCAGGTACAGATGGTATCCAGTGATATGAGTGGATGGCTGATACTACGAAGCCTGGAGTACTGACCACATTTTTCCCGTGTCTTGATGTTCTCGATTTGCATCCATGACTGGGTTGGGGTGTCGTTTATCTTACCGCAGTGTCAGCTTCCAGGGCATGCCAACAAGCTGCTTGCCTTGCTCCATAGGGTCACCTATGATCGATATAGTCATCTTTCCTACTTGTGGGTGGCAGCTAACGCTTCTTCTGCAGGTCTTTGACCACGCGACCTTCGATGGTACCTAGCACAAGCTTCAGTGACATATACTGCCTAACTGCGCAGACCGGAAGTATTACTAGGTAGGTGTCAATCGCCGTTCCTCATATCTTGGGCATATTCTCAAATCAGATGTGGAAGGAAGAAGAAAAAAAAAAAAAAAAAAAATAAATAAAAAAAAAAAAAAAAAAGGAAAAAAGGAACAAGAAAAAGAAGATTTCAAAGGAAAAGAGCAAAGACAGTTACGACGACAACAACGCCCTGCGATCTATGAAACAAGGATAGAGAAGCAATCTCTGCGATGTCATCGAGCGTGAGAAGGGACAAGAAAAGGGGTACAATGGTAGAAAAATGAAAAAGCTCGGTTGCCCAGGCCAATGTTCTAACTGAACATATGCAGACCTACGAAACCTGTTCCACCAGTACCGCGCACCGAGCAAGGTTTTCTAGCTCACATACCACTTGATTACGTAGAGAGAAAAAAAGAGTTATTCCAATAACCAAACGCGAAGCCTTATACCTACCCCAAGCTCATGTGTGGGCTAGACAGTGCCGCACAGGTGGCAGCTCTAGGGTTCTGTGATGGCGAGTGTCTATAGATGCCAACTGTTAATCTTACAATTGCATGACTTGCATCTCAAACTTGAATTTTGTGCCTTTGTTATTTGCCGTCAGCTACATAATCGCTTGAGAAATTATTGCGGAGTGTCCACCAGAGTGCCTTGTCGTTCAAGAGTTCTCAAGCATCAGCCACCTTTATCCTTTGCCTCAAGAGGGGTTTAACCTCGATGCAAGCGCAATGCAAGAAATATGTAGAATGTCTGGGCTTTTCAATTTTGTCCCGGATGTCCGATAGGGACCCAGATTTCTTGCCTAAAGGTACCTATGTCTGAACACCTCCCCCTCTCCCCAAGTGTTCACCCCTGAATCCCGTCAGGATAGATCGACTGGGTTTGTATCAACAACACCAATAGTTTTTCGACGCAGCCTTCCGAAAAGAAGAGTGAAGATTTCACATCGTGTGGGTTCCCATCCAAAGTATGCAAAAGGCCAAATGAGTTCCCAGTTAAAAGCTCACTTCTTCCACAAACAGAACACAGGGGAAATGCCAGCTCCCAGCCTTGGACGATTGAACGTGGCCAATATTGACCTCCAGAGAGCTTTTGAGCTTCTCTTAGTGTTACGTGCAGAGGTAAGTCATCCATTTGCAGGACCCTCTTTCAACGGCAGCACTGGACTAACACTCACGGATCTTTAGCAAGTACGCATCCGGGTGACTTTACAGGCCCTCCAAGCCATTCTTCGGGGTTTCTTAGCTCTGCCGGTCCACTTACGCCCATCAAATTGGGTTACCGAAACGGAACGCGTACTTCAGGCGGCCAGCGAAGTAGAGGAGCGCTTGGATCTTATCGCGGGAATTATGGTAGCGGTTACTCGCCGCGTCGAGTTCATAGAACGATTAATATAATACTTCCGACCGCTATTACCTTTTGGGTTGACCAAGGAAGATAAATCTACGAATTGAGTTATTCCTCGTGTTGGTTCACGAACCGTGGAGGAAACTGCTCCGTTAGGTGTCAAGGAGCAACTTAGCTGCGAATTAACTCAAAACCGGAGAGACCGAAGACCTGTCATGGCAAGAATCTGATCAAGTTCGCGGCTGGAAAGAGTAGTACCCAACATGAATAATGGAACACCTCTCCGCGAATAGCCGCAAGAGGCGCGAGTTCCTTCCACCCACCAAAGAGATGATATTGATGCAAATGATGGCTCCTTCCTCCCATATAGCAATATATCCATATCGTGATACACATCTACACATGCTCCTTCCCAGCCCGTTCTGTGATTGATGCTTATTGATCATTCATTGTCCAATGAACGTCTAAAGTACGGATACCATGTGATCGAGGATGACCTGCGTGCTCCTCCCAGCCAGGTTCTTGTTCTTCCGTCTGTCGAAGAAACTTTCGACATCTACCGAGTCAAGCAATGTCAGACATGAGATGATCATTTGGGGCCATGTACCTATCTGCCTATATCCGTCTTCACCATCGATGAATTAGAAGATTTTATTTCAGATAGCCGAGTGACGTCGGCCTCGGGTCATCCAAAGCTACCACATCGTGACTAAATGAGACGGCGCACAATCAAAACCGAGACCAATTATCGAGCGTACTACATTGTGCCACACCTTCAGAAGTGGGTGATGCCGGCAGTCGCTGATGAAGTCGAAATATCACGGTGTAGAAACAACGGATCCCGAGCGTTCAGTCGCCGACCGATCAGCCAAGATATTCCATCCTTTCCGATCCACCAAACGCCTCGCCGGTATCGACAGCTCGAACGCTCCCAAATTGCCTACTTTCCTGAGCTGGTTGAGATGCCGCAGGCGTAGCATCGACTACGACGACGAGGACCAGCTATACTGGGAAGTTGACCCAGAAATATCAGAAGTCACCCAAAGTCCTTCCTGGAGGATGTCTGTACCCGAAACTTTACCTTCACTCTGCCCTCAGATCGGATGGAAGGTCTTGAAACATGCTTTTTTTTCGCTTCTGCCAAAGAAGGGGCAGCCACAAACCCTTGACCTTCGTTTCACTTTTTTCGCAAACTTTCGCTCCAAATACTGACCGCCAATCCTTTTGCGGTCAACAAGCAAGCTATTTTCTGCCCCGGAGCAGGATTCTTCTCCCGGCGCAACCCCCGCACCAGTTGATCGAGCACCACCGCTACTCGCGACAGCCGCCAAGATGGTGAACTCCCTCCTTGCCTGGACTGAGGATGAGCTCCAGTACCTAAAAGCCGTCCTGCGATGGAAGGATTCGCCCTCGGAAGAATACAAGCGACTTTCCGATAGTGGCGCAAATGATGCGCTCTCCAACCTCGATCCGCACAATTCGACATTGCCACAAGAACCCAAACAAGAGGAAATCAAGATCCTCATTCTCGGCGCAGAGGGAGTAGGAAAGACGACACTCGTTCAGAAGGTAAGCAGGAATGCGCCAACCCCTCCCCTTCTCGATTACTTTTCGTTCGTTTGTTGGCGAACACATTCGGGCACCGACAAGATCAACGGTGACAGCGATTCCGAATACAGAACCATGATCTTCCCCATCTCTTGCACAAGCGGCTTCTAACTCAAGTTTCTTCCAGTTCTCCAAAACTCATCGCCACCCCTCCACCTCAAAACCCAACCGATTCCTCCTCCCCCTCCCCTCAGATAGCTCTTCCAGCGGCGAAAACTCAACGGCCTACACCCTCCATACCCTCGAGCTCCCCCACCCCTGGTCTACCACCACGCGCACCACGCACCCGCATCTATGGACACGCACCCTCACTGAGTACGATGGTGCCCTCATCCTCTACTCCGTTACCGATCCATCCTCCCTACAACACGCCATATCCATCGCCTCCGCCATCTGCGAGCACTTTGCGTCCCTCCCACAGTTCAGCGAGAACTTGGTGCCCTTCAACAAACCGATCGGCCGAGGATCCAAGGCGCATTATCTTCACCTCAAAAAGACAACCAGAAACGTGGTCAGAGAATTCGCCATGGTAATGGTGGGAAACAAGAATGACGTGGATATCCTGGGCGGCGCTGCTATTGCTGCTACTGCCGCTGCCGCTGCTGGTTCACTGAGCGGACTCGGACTCGGACTCAGTGAAATTGGAGAGAGAACGGTGTCGACCAAGGAAGGAAAAGAAGCCGCCAAGAAGTTGGGACTGGGTGAGTCGTGGTTTGAGACGTCGGCGGGTGTGACGGGGGAGAATGTCGATGCGGTTTTCGTGCAGGTGGCTAGGGAGGCGGTGAGGAATAGGAAAGAGTATAAGGAGAAGAAGGGTGAGATTGAGAGGGGTGGGAGCGAGGGTTTGTTAAAGCGGGATTCGGAGGTTGGGAGTACGGCGACGAGGAGTAAGGTGGGTGGATTGTGGAAGAGTCTTACCACGGGGTGGTTGCCGTTGTTCGGGAAGAAGAGAGGTTAGGACGGAAAGAAGTGTGGTGGCATCGCTTTGCTTCCTGGAGTAGGATTCGGCTCCTGGTAAGAGCCTTTAAATGAGGACGACACTCTGATCGTGGAATCTTAGGAACATTGACGAAGCATGAAAGGGGGAAGCAAAGGGATTTATGGTTAGGGAACCGGACAAAGGTGTTGATGTATTTTGAGCGAAGATACCCCGAAGATCCGTTGCATTCAGATTCATATACCATATATCGAGACTAATAAGAGGCTAAGCCAGTTACTAGGTACGGGCATGGAGTATCCCGGTGGGCGGCCGATAGTGTCTATGTGTGAAAGAAACTGGGATGTCGCCACCTGAGACTTGTTACTGGCCTCCCGCCGTAGGAATTTCATTTGTACAAAAATCCTGTGGTCTAATATCTCCTCAACCTTATTGTAATCTCCAAAGTGTTGTATGTCCATTGATCCATGGTATTCCCAGAAAAAGACAAAACGCCTCGCTACCTATGATATCACTTCCGCCCATTGGTACCCTTGTTTATGCGATCACGACGTTATCCAGAAGTAGATTGAGTCTCTGAAGCGAGTCTAATACTGGCGAATTTCTATGGCACCATTCAACAACGCCTGCCTGAAGAGGTCCGCAAACGAGGAAGTAGTACGGCAATCACTCCTCTCCCTCTTTTCCAGGGCTTCTGGCAACCACTCTAGGATCTTTTCGATTCTGTTCGAGTGCTGTGCCGACAGCGTCAGTACCATGCTTAACAATCAATGACCCGACACAAGCAAGTGGAGCCCAAACTTACCGAAGGATGCGTGCTCATCCACTCGGGCACTTCTCCTTTTGACATCCTTTCCATCTTCTCCCAAAACGTTACCGCCTCCCGCGGATCATAGCATGCCTCCGCCATCATCATCAAGCCGATATAATCCGCCTCGCTCTCCTGCTTGCGGCTCATCGGGTTCGAGATCGCAGTGTCGAGCGCCCACGCGCCCGCAAACTGGGCGATGATGGCCCCAAGCCCCAAAGCGCCGCAGAGCACCACCAGACTATAGAGCAGGATATTCAGGCCCAGGGTCTGCGACATGCGCTCGCCAACATGGTCGGCGACGTTATGTGCAATCTCGTGACCGAGCACCGTCGCCAACTGCGAGTCTGTCCTGGCTAGGTTCAATATCCCGCTGAAAACAAACACCTTCCCTCCCGGCAAAACGAACGCGTTGGCCTTGTGCGGATCATCAATCACGAAAATTTCCCATTTTTCGTCTTTCATGCCGCTAAAGGGAATCAGCTTCGCCATCACCCGCTTCACGCGCTGCGTGCGCCAGTCCCAGTCAGGCAGGATGGCGACGCCTTGCTTTTGCAAATCGTACAGTAAGCGGCGGAAGGAGAGTTCGCCGGCCTCGAGTACCAGCTTGCGCGAGTAGATGTTGAAGCGCGTACGGCCCGAAACGGGCACCGTCTCGAGGTTGATGAAGTAGAAGATGACGGTTCCCGCGACGCAGAAGACGAGAAGATATTTGGTGTTTTGGTGCCGAGCGGCCCGCTTGAGGTCTTGGTTCGTGAAGAGCGGGTCGGCGTAGCGGCGGTGGACGCCGTAGGGGTCGGCACGCTCGTTAAAGGAGCGGTTCCACCAGTCTGAGGCGAAGCGCCGTTGTTGTGCCCATGGAGGAGGGCCGGTGATTGGGGGTAGGCGGGTTGTCGTCGGTCGCCATGGTGTTGGCGTCGGTGTGAAGGTAGGGCTCGCTGCTCGGGGCTGCTGGAAGGTTGGGTTGTCGTGTATGATGCTTCGGCTGGCTTGTGAGGTGACCGCTGTTGGGGATAATGCTGTGCTGAGGCGTGCGCATGTTCGAAAAGCTCCAGACGTAGCAGCGACTGCCTGGATGCCTACGACAGCTGCGAGACCGGTCCGTTGCCCGATCACTGTAGAAGCTACACCAAGCGATGGTCGGAGATTAGGAAGCATAGTATGGAATATGAAAGTGTCGCAAATTGTATATGTTACTTTCAACAAAGGTCAAGAACTCCTAGGTACAGCATGCAAACGAACGAGACCGTTTCGGAAACGTAGTTCGACACATGGTAGAAAGCAAAGCTAAAGAAGGGTTTCAGCCACCATAACGTGGCTTCGATAGGATGTGTTATTCAAAGTGAAAGGTGTTGTTTGCTGACTTCGCTGCTGTGCACTGATGCGGTGGAATTCCGGCGAAGGTGGCAGATGAAAGGCCGGAATCTGACAAAATGACAGGTCCGTGACATGAAGACGAAGGGAGCTTCCACGAGCTCCGTCATCGCGCAGGGAGCGGACGACGTTCGGCAGGCAAGGATAGGTGGGAGAACTGAAGGCTTGGCATTGGTGGAGCCAGTCGCGATAAGCTGAGGTGGAGATAACGCATCAAGCGGGCAGGTCTTGGCAGGAGCGATGGTGCGTCTGGTATGCCTTCTTCCCCATAACCTTCAACTGTGAGAGAGTTGAGAGTTGACAAAGACTGTCTCTTCTCACCCCGTCACCTCTACCCTGCCGATAATATTCAAGACGAGCGCGATGCCTCAAACGACAAAAAAATTACAGACTTGTTTGGCGGGACACGGTACGAGCATTCAAGTTAGAGAGTGAACAAGAAGCCGCCAATGTTCAGCAACTTCAGCCGTCGGGTCATGATGCTTCTAGCCCTTTGGAAGGATTCCCAAACAATGGCCTTGAGGCTCGGAGGATTGGTATTCTACCCGATACACATGTCGAGCGAGATCATGCGACCTCATGCCCGGGTTGGGTTGGGGTATCACGACATGCGCTCGCGGTCCATGCCGTCAGCTACCTAGACTCCGCGGAGGTGTGGTGGTACCAGCATGGATTGTGCCTCAACAACCTCGTGTCTAGTGTTGATCAAAGGATTGGATGTTGGTAATGCCTCAACTCTCATGGAATTACCATGGCCAGAGGCTTGTTCCCAACACTTGGTCTGCATGAATACCCCTCATGTTTGCATCTGTCACAGTGTTGCAAGCCCCAGTGCAATGATACTCCAGAAGGGGGCATACTGCTATCAGGTTCAAGTTCTGCTGGGAGAAGAGGGCAAGGTTGCCTATGCCATACTGTATATCTTGCCGGTGTCGACGCACTTTGTGTCGCTCCTTCTTTAGACAAAGGCTGTTGGTGATGGTTTGCAGAGTGCAGTTGCAGAGACCGAACCTAGCTCCTTCCCGATATTAATATCTTAACTCTCTGCAGTGCAGTACTCCGAGTGGCTTTCCCCAGGGATGGAGAAGCATCAGTGGAAACGCCGCGATATTTTACCGTCACCAACGACGCTTTCAGCCTCGCCCGGCTGCATGCCGTCTGAGATTTTGGTCAACTTTGGTTTGTTTGCTTTACCTAAAATCACCCCCTGCCCGATGCCCCAGTTCCCCCCTCCCGTTCTGCCTCCCGGTATAAGTCCTGTCTCACCCCAAAGTCAGTTCCGTCTACTACACAAACGTGGTGGTTGCGCGCCGCGATATACGATTCGTTCTTGGTTCGTTGTCGCTGAGCAGCCTTGCTCACTCACCTCTACTCTCCCCCTCACATGCACCGTGCCACTATCGCACGGCATCCCGGCTTCTTCTGAGTGCTGACATCCCCCGAAAATAACAAGGCCAGAGTCACATTCTGGTCCCGTCAGCCTGGATCGAGGTAGATTAGCCTGGGCCAATAATGGCTTATACGGCCCCCAATCCTCTTGCTGTCGAACCCATGAGCAACGAAGTCGATACAACGATCCCAGACTCCCCCTCAAGTCTTCCTCAGACACCCCGCAACACCAGATCCTCGTGGGTTGCTCGCAACAGAAACAAACTTCTTAGGCGTATCGCTCTCTTCAAGCCACCCAAGATGGAGGCACCCATGATAGCCTCGACTTCATCTACGCCTACAGACAATCAACACATCGGAACAGAGTATGTCTCTACCCAACATGAGGAACCTGCTCGCTCTGTTTCCCCCGATTCAGCGTTAATCGGCATGGGCCACGATGGAACACACGGAGAGGGATTGCAGTCGCCGCCGCCGCCGCCGCCGGCGTCCAACCCACAATATCAGTACCAGAACGTTCCCTCGCCGTCATCATATCCGCAGTTTCCAAAGGAGGCGGACATGGGCATCTATGCTACTTACCCTGCAGCGTTCTCCGGAGGATCCAATTTATATTCGCCGCCACCCATGGGAATGTACGGAGTATCGCCCACGACACCTCAAGTAATTAACTTCCAGAACTGGGGACAGGCAGATGATGTCCAGTGCTTGATAAGTTCCCGTATGTAGATATCATGGCCCATCGAATTCCACTTTCTCCGCAACTAATTTCTATCCTTAGCTCAAACCCCCTTCACCCCATTCGGACAGCCACCTTTTGCGCAGCCAGTCTATGGACAAGCAGGACAGGGACAGCCGCCCTTCGAATGCTCTTCCCAGCGCGGCCCATATCGCGACAAGGTCAGCTGGCTTGGGATAACATTGTGGTCCCTGTCCATTTTTTCAACCATCGGGAGCGGGATCTGGTTGGGTGTCGCCTTGATTCAGCCCAAATGGGGAAAGACAGTTTCCTCCGCTCATGGAGCCCTTCCACCGTCGACAGCTTCTTTGCTCACTGCCCTGATTGCCAAGTTGATCGAAACCTCCTTCGTTGCCGTGTTTGTTGCCTCTGTTGGCCAGATCCTTACGAAAAAGGCCTTTGATGTTGGCAACAGAGGTGTTACGTTGGGCGAGTTCGGCATGAAAAACTGGGTTGTTGTAAGTCTTCGACACGTCCTATTTGCCAGTACGCTTGCTAACTGTTCACAAGTCGCCAGGCTTGATGTTCACGAATATCAGATCCTGGAAGAAAGTGGGATTTACCCCTTTGGGTGTTCTATGTATGCTCGCCACTCTCGTTGCAGTGTTATACACCACAGCCTCGGACGCTCTCGTTGCTCCCAAATTGAAATGGGGCAAACTTGAAATGATCGTCATGAAGAATTACGCCATGGCTAGCTATGGGAACGTACAATTCGTCAAGCAAAGCTGTCATCTGCCGGATGGGCTGCTGGCCGATGACCAGAGCCAAGATAGTTGTCTTGCTGCGTCTCTCTCAGGTTTCTGTACGTCAAGAGCAACGCCATCCCTCCAGCACAGTTCCAGGAAATACCATTAGCTAACCGTCAGTGTAGCATATAATAACTTCCAAGCCTTCCTGTAAGTCGTATAGCATCAGGTATTTCATATACTTTGCATACTAACGGCTTTTAGGTCCACATGGTCAGACTTTGGCCGGAACAACACAAAGCCAGAGGGACGTTACATGTCCAACAGGCCCCCAGTAACAGCAACGCTCTACGACAATGTCACTGTCACAGGGACGTGGATCAATACCGAACATAGTGACCCCATGGCAAGCTACGAGAAGTACAAAAGAACTATCAACAATGTGACTCTAGCAGTTCCTCACCCTGGTAAGATCATCCTATAATCAGCATCGCAAACACATGCCTAACTATGTGCAGGGGTGTACGACGCAGCAACAGATCCCGTTAATGAAATACTTCAGCCCAGCGATCTTTCCGGAGTCGGGGAATACAGGTTAGCGGCAAGCGCGGTCAGCCCGGCGCTGAATGTCCTCTGCGTGGGGATGACCGAAGAGGAGCTTGCGCCTCTTGTATACACAACATGGCCTCATGCCAACTTAACGGACGCGGAGCTCCCAGGCGAAAAGACAGGTGGGTTGAATTGGTTAGACGATGTCCCTCCATCCAGCGAAAGTGAATGGGTCAATGGGACTGTTCTCAATGCCACCGTTGTGGATGACATATTTAGATGGGGCAAAGGCTACCAACGACGACCACCGGTCTTTCAGAGGGTAAGCGTCTTTCCAATCATTTCAATAGATCACGCTAATCAAATCCGGGTGGGCAGTTTCCGTCAGAATACAACGTAATTATCAATGCGACAGTCGCAAGTTCAAACGACTGGACCCACAAGTCAGGCTCTGTCTATACACTCGTCAACAACAATGCCACGGACGACTACACGTTGTGTGAGATCCGGTCGTGGCTCTCCATCAACTGTTCAACGCATCTCAACATCTCAGGGACGACCGGCGCTCATATGTCGGCAAACTGTGAAGATGAACACGATCCAGTCAGCTACCGCAAGTCAGTCCCGGGCGCTGTGGAGTTGGATGAGTCTGACTGGAAGTGGTTAGCGCAATCATGGCAGCTAGCCATTTATATGAACTCCGGGTTGACGACCCTCAATTCTTCACGAGATCGCATACTGACTGCACTACCATTGGAGGATCACCATCTCCCCAACAGTGTGCCATCCCTCGCCGAAGTCCTGGCGGCACTTGTCAGTCCGACATTGATCTCTGGCTCTATTAAGACACCTGTTGTTCACTATTGGCACCCAGAGACGACACCCGTTGTTTTGCCGGGATGGGAGAATAACTTCAACGCCTCAATCACGAAACAAGAGTACACGTCGGGCTCTGCCATGGAGTGGCAACGCGCATTCCTTTTGATTCTGATTATGGGGTTTTTACTAAACTTGTTTTGCTTGGTTCATTTGTTCATTCAGCTCAGGGGTCGGCCGCTTACCGACTTCACGGATCCTGCAAACTTGTTTGCCCTGGCCATCAATTCTCCTCCAAGTCAGGCACTGAGCGGAACATGTGGAGGAGGACCCACAGGTTATCAATTGGATGTGCCATGGCGTATCGGCTACTCAGAACAATCAAACCACTACTTCTTTGAGGAAGCAACTGAAAAGAGGCAGAGGCTCAAGAGGAAGAAGGCAATTGGCCGTCGGGATATGGTCACTTCGGAAATGGAGCTGGTAGACTTCAAAGATGGCGATATCAAGGCAAAAATGGATGACCCGAGGCAGAGCTATGTCAAGTTGAGCAACCATAAGAGCTGGCTGTAAGGTTGATTATCCGGAGGAAATAATGGTGCTGATTCGGGACAGGACATGTCGCAGCATGGATATCTGCTGTCGGTAATGCAAGGTGAAGTATTCAATCATAACACATGATTTTGCACCTCCATCCTATATTTCCCCCTTTCTTATTGACGCTACGTCGTAAAGTGATGTCACCGGTACTCGAAAGCGAGTAGCGTCTGCGGATAGTCCCTCATAATTCTGAGTGGATAACAAGACGATGTACAAGGGGTGTGGTACAAGCAGCCCAAAGGGTACCATTGACCGCGGAATGAAGCACAACTGATAATACCTTCACAATCAGCCAGGATTTTCCCCGCTGGTATAGTAGGAGAGTTCTGCTCGAAGGATAAATGGCCCATCGACATTGTCTTTTTTAATCATACCCAATGACAGGTCCAAACCAACGACTGGGAATATTCGCGCGAACCACGTATGGAGGACCAAAAGCCCGGTTCATTTGGCACCGATAAAAATCACATATTGACGTTCCCCGCTGATGGGTTCGGTCTCTATCAGGAATTCAAGTAGCCTGCGGGGTTCTATACCCTGGACTCCGTTGAAAATAAAGTTGTATTCTTGGCCGCGTTGTCTACCGACATCCAGGGGCAACAGCTTAGAGATTTCATTGTAGCAAATGGAACGTGATGCAGATTGGTAGTACTTTTACTACTTCTAGGAGCTCATGGCGGCAACCTTGATCAGACTGCGGGTGTGAATATGTGCACCCCAACCTCACGAGGACAAATTGACGATAGTGCAATAACCGGTCCCATGGGAGTGACCCATCATCGCGTCCATAAATAAAAACCCAAAGTTCACGATTCTGTACCATTTCTTACATCAACAATAGATTTGCATTTTACCTGTAGTTGAACAACTGGGGCATTTGTTGGTCTCTCCTCGGAGCCTATCTTGTTGGAACCCGAATCATCCAAGTGGCCGTCCATTTCGGAATGCTTCACTACCTTCAAAAACATTCCAGTCACTCATCCTTAGTGTATAAACCACCCAAACCGGATGTTAAACATACCGTCAGTACTTTGGCTTAGCCTTCCTGTGTCGTCCAAGATCCAAACCCCTAACGTCAAAAGAAACAGTAAATTTCCCGTGAGAAGCTGCTCGGCTGAAGCAAAGATAATCATCCTTCGAGGCGGTTTACGGTAAACGGCAAAAGGGCTGCGCCCCTGCTACACTGCTTCCACACCCGACAAGGGAAAAAAATGAGGTTTATTCTCTTCCTTCTAGCAGGCGCCACCCACCTCGCTCTTTCCACCGCCAAACAAAACTGTCCCCTCTACGGCCCGCTCTTCCCCAAACCAACCAACCTGCTCCAGAATGCAGCCATCCAAGCGGCCGCAAAATCCCTAGACGAGATCTTCCTCAAGTACATCGACCACGACAACACCACAGGCGCAGACCACTTCTCGTACGCAGTCGAGGTGTTTTCAGGGAGCGAAGACACACCGCTATGGTCGCACTACTGGACCGCGCCGAAGCTGGAGGTGTTCAACTCGACGGGCGTCAGCAAAGTCGATGCCAATACGGTCTTTAGGGTAGGCAGTATTACCAAGATCTTTACGGTTTTGTCATTTCTGGCGACGGTGGGTGATCGAGTGTGGAATGATCCGGTTACAATGTACCTACCAGTGCTGGCAAGGTTGGCGGAGAAGACGCCTGGTGGTTCGATGACAGTGCCGGATTGGGAGGAGGTGACATTGGGAAGTTTGGCTAGTCAGACGAGTGGGCTGATACGGGACTGCAAGTTATAGCCCTCTTCCCTGACGACAAGACGAGACCGGGAGCTGAGCTAACTTTCGTGATGTGCAAAGACGCCCTCCTGGGAGAATTGGCATATGAAGTTCCCCTCGAACATCTCTACAAAATCGGGTTCCCGCCTCTCCCACTCGAAGAATTTCCGCCATGTGGTACCCTTCCTACCTGTAACAGGGACCAGCTATTTGCTGGATTGGAGAAGTTACCTCCTTCGTTCCCGACTTCGTCGACGCCAGCCTACTCGGACATTAGCTTTGCCCTCCTTGGTTATGTTGCCGAGCGCTTCACCGGAAAGTCTTTCAAGACTCTCGTGCAGGATTCAGTGTTGACGCCATTGAATCTCACGCATACGTTCACGTCGGCGCCGGATGACTCGCTGGGAATTATTCCGGGAAATCGACACTCGACGTCTTGGGCGTTTGACTTGGCGGAGGAAGCTGCGTGAGTAGCGCTGGAGTACGCTGTTGGTAAAGGAGCCGTGAGCTTACTAGCACATAATAGGACAGGAAATATGTATACCTCGGCGGGTGACATGTCCTCGCTCGGCCGCGCAATTATGCGCTCCACACTGCTCAAACCTGCCGTAACCCGTCGGTGGCTGAAGCCATCTGTGTTCACATCGGACCCAAAGTCAGCTGTTGGCATGCCATGGGGTATCCGGCAACTTGACATAGACTCTAGTACGTCCATATTGGCCTCTTTGTCGTTTACCACCGCTAACTCATTTCTCCCTAGACCAATCCTTCCAGATAACCCACGCCTTCAACAAACTCGGCTCTCTAGGAGCCTACACCTCCCTCCTCGCCATCATCCCCGACCTCGACATCGGCTTCTCCATCCTCGCCGCCGGCGACCCACCTCCTGGCTTAGCAATGGATATTGCCGACACTTTAACAACCACTTACCTCTCAACCATGACGTACGTCGCTCGCACCGAGGCCGACCGGATGTTCAGCGGCCAGTACCGGTACATTGGGTAACATTACCGTTGCTGTCCCTAGTTCTACCCCTTCAAACTCCTCCAAGTCAACCCCACCCAAGTACACCAATGGCACTATAGTCGAAAGAAAAAAGTTGAATTCCTCCCTCACAATCTCCACCTCCCCCTCCACTCCTGGCCTCGTCCTCGAGAACTGGATCTCCAACTCAACCGATATGTCCTTCTACGCCGTGGCCATCGGGTCTAACATCACGGACGAGTACCTCGACAAGATCAAACCATCCGTTCGTCTTTACCCAACGGGCTTCTCCGAGATTCTACCAGATGGAAAGGGTAAAAGAGTCGCTTTCAAGGCCGTCTTCGAAGACTTGAGTCTGCCCGAACGAAAACCGGGGCTGCAAATAAGTACCGACTGTGCAACCTGGGTTGGCGTGACGGGGGTGGTTTATGGCAGTCGGCCGTTGGATTCATTTATTTTTGAAGTGGATGGGGAAGGGAAGGTCAAGGGGGTAGAGAATGGGGCGTTGAGGGTTTGGTTGGATAAAGTTGGGTGAGATGCCGGTGAGATGAGGTGGCATGACGGGAGAGGAGGAAGGAAGAAGCAATGGAGGGAAGCGAAGGAGGGAAGAAGGTGGCAAGAAGGGGATGTCTTAAGGAATATTTGCAACTGTGGAGAAAAGCAATCGAGGAGGGCACGGATGGGTTGATGGACTCTGCATGAATGTCAAATGATGATTAGTGGCGAGTCACCCTAGTCACTTACACCTCTGGATCCCACTTTTCAACGCTGTGATACATCAAATCTACTAGCTTTACGTTCTAGCCAATTGTTTATATGTTCTTCCTAGCTAGTTTCAATTTCTGAGCAGAGCCATTGCCCTTGCGGGCGTTATCGTCAAAGCCAGGATCGGTTCTCTGTACTGCATTGAAGCATTGCCTTTCCATATTTATTAGCCCCACTTTAATCCACTCGCCAACTCTACGAGGACACTCGCAAATATCAGCACTTTTACGCTGATATATAATGATTTCAAGGCCACTATCTGGTAGACAGATGGAATTAGTATTTCATAATTTGGTTTTTGTTCATAATTTGATATTGTAATCGTGCGCGATTCGGGACGTTTTTGCTTTGACTGCCCGTTGCATGGGTGGGTACCTACTCTTTGGTATATAAGTAGGTACCTCTAGGTAACCCCGGGTGTGAGCTGCCCGGACTGGACTAGATGGTCATGGTTTCGCAACACCGCCCACTGCACGGAAGGAGGAAGTGGGAAAATACTAACTTATGGAAATTAAAATAGAAATCAGGACAGAACCCATGGTTCCTCATACGAATTTTATTCCTAGTGATAATTGTTAAACGCATTTTTTTAAAACTCCTTGATCTGAATGAGGTCCGGGCCTTGCATATTTAATTGTGATGAGCGGTGTCTCTCAACTTCTGTATGTCCATTGTCTTTTTTTTTTTTTTTTTTTTTTTTCCCTTAGTTCCAGCTCACCCTCTGTTCATTCTCTCGAAAGGAAATGTGTGCCGTGACTCCAAGACCGGCAATCTTCACACCCACGGTTAAGTCCATGTCCATTTGATAGGTTCCTACTCAGTGTTGCTGCACTGTGCTTTCGGTGGGCGTTAACATAACGTGATATAACACAAACTACTCAAAGCAAGGGATGGAAAGCCTAAAAGGTTCACACTCAGCAGTTTGAAAATTTCACAGGTAAGATGGCCATTGAAGTACGTGCTGATAAATGTCGATTTTGTTCTTTTTTTCCCACCCAGCCCAGCTTTAACCATGCTATGCTCAACTCCTTCTCGAATGTTTATTTTGCCTTCTTTGGGTATGGTCTTGGATATTATACACATATGATGTTGATGTTTGTAAGTTGGTTTGGGTATCCGTGATGTATCACAGCCAAGTGCCACAAGCCGAAGTATTTATGGTATGTATCCTTCTCGTCTGCTTGAAGTTCTGATCACAACCTTTCCGGTCGGTCATGTACTTAGTTCCAACGCTAACTATGTAGCGTGGTGTCTGTCTCCCATATTCTCGGGGTGACTTGCTTTCCTCCTCCGGCCTCCTCTTACTGTCCACTACCCCAAGACGCCGTTGTGATGCCCTAGCATGATTTGAAGACAGACAAAGAGAAACGAAATAAAATCAGAAACAGAAAAACGGTTGACAAATGATAGTAGGAAAAAAACACTCTTCGTCCGTGTATCCAACACGGTAGAGTATAGTGGGTGGTATAAAACTCAGGCCAAAAGCAAGGGGGTATACAATGACATGAGGTAGGGGGGTACAACGAGCACACAAAAAGACTTTCCCTTCTTGAATGCTTTGTCTCCTCTATCCCGCCCACTTCTCGTGGAGGGGTGGAATATCCATGCCCAGAGCAGGAAGCTTCCAACAAACCAACCAACAAGTATACCGCCATCCGAGTGAAAAAGTATCGCCGTCATGAAAATGGCTTCTCCGAAAAACAAAAACTCCATTTATTCCCAAGGTCGTAAGAGGCGAAGATCATGGTATGTTGCCAGTGAACTTCGATCGTTAATGCTCATAGCCGGCACCTCGTTGCCACGGGCTGTTTCAACCGTTAGCTTGCATTCGAATCCAGTCACGATTCCATAGAACAAACTTACCTTGCGTTATTGAGAGCCCTATACTGTGGCGTGAGGGTGGCGTTGCCGCCTTGGGGGCCACCGTACGGACTCGGTGACGGTCCTCGAGGATCAAAGTTCATACCTGGCTTCTCGCCATACTGAGGACCTTGGGTGTTCCGGCCTTCCGAAGGGAATAGCGGCATCGCAGGGTCAACCGGAGACTTTGGGGGAGCATTGGTGAAGTGTAGCCCAGCTCCACCAGCTGGCATACCGGGCTGAAGTTCAGTTTGACGACGAAGCGAATCCGAAGACATGGATTCCGCATCCTCATCGAGGTCGAGTCCCTTGAACCCGGACTTGTCTCCGCGAGCGGTCGCCGCAAGCGCATCCAGCTCGGTGGTCGTTGTAAGATGAGTCTGTGACTTCATGAAGAATGTCCTATCATCAGCCATGAACTGGTACCGATTATCGGGGTTCTCGCGGAAGAAGACAAAGATGGTAGAGCAGATGAGCATCAGCAGGTAAACCAGGGAGAAGATGGAATTGGTAATCCACAAGATGAGGCCGATAACACCAGTGACGAGGGGCGGCTGGTTGAAGACTTCAGTGAACATGAGTAGGAAGATGGCGTTGATGAAGTTCATGACGCAAATGGCGATGTTGAACCAGTTGGTCTTCCTGTCCATCCAAGGGCGCATAACAGTAGCCGCGATCAAAGCGGCGGCTTCGATAATAAGGAAACCGACCGCCTGGGCAGTACCGTTATTTTGTCCGAAAGCAACGAAGAGACCCTTAAGAATAGTATAGCCGAGAACAGGAACGATGAAGTAATAGGCCGAAGCTCGGAATTGAACGTAGAGGAAACCCCACTTGTTCAAAGCTTGAGGGTCGGAGAAGAGGATGTAAGCCGGGTTCTGGTGCATTACAACGGAGCGGCGCGCGATTCTGATAACCTTGAATGCGGCCCAGCCCAGGGTGACAAGCATACCCAGGAAGAAAAAGAGGGCTAGCACCATTTCAGCAGGCGAATCGTTTTGGGTAAACTCCCACATGCACATGACGGTCATGGCGGGGAAGCCAATAAGGGTAATTCTGAAGAGGATGCCCTTAAGAACGGTGAACCAGCCGTTTCGGAAATCGAGAAAGGTGTCGTGCTTCATCCAGCCCTTCTGTGCGGCCAATTCGCAGTATCCTTTCCAGCCAGCGACGCAAAGAATGGTAATAACGACGAGGACGCAGAAGAAGATCAAGCACGTCATGAACAAGTTGGTGGACTCGATATGGGCACGGAAAGCCGCACGCTGAATGCCATACACGACGTAGCTGCCGGTATCTGTTTGAATGTTTCCGCGCTTGAGGAGTTCGTGCTTCATGGCCTGCTCCATGGGTTCAGAGATGGTCCTGGGCATATACGACATCGAACGCCTGGCCAAATCCGCACCATAGTCCGCAACGTCCAGCGCACGCTTTTGAACTTGAACGGAGACTGTCGCCAAAGAGTCGAATAGCATCGAGGGAGTACCACCAGTCGCACGCTGATACCAGGTAAAGATGTCCTGCATGAAATTGACCTTGATAATACCCATGCTCCACTGGAAATCCTGGGTCCATCCCATCACGGCAGGTGGCAGAGGAACACCGGTAAGTCCAAGCATGGCCTGGGCCTGGAAATAACCAAAGAGAGAGAGGGCGTTGGCGGCAACGTGCGATGCGGCATTGTGATGACCGAGGCCAGAAACGAAGGCAGATGACGTCAAGGCGAAGGTGGCAACGATGGCCGTAGCCCATTTGACACCAGCCAAGTCGACGGTTTTTCCGTTGGTAATTTCAGCTTCAACACAGGCAACTGTTTGACCGGCCTCGTCTCCATCTGTCATGTTGATCCTGACTCGTACTTTGGCATCGATATCGGGAAAGTTATAGGCAATGCTGGGAATCTGTGCAACAGCGTTCTTGTCGACGGGCAATGTGAAGTTGAGAGGAATCTTGCCGGCCGTCATAGGGCACAAACCCAGCAATCCGGAGCTGCAGGGATCGACTTTGGCGGTGATAATTTCGTAGCCGTAGGCCGAGATGGCAACGTCGAAGATGATTTTGCCTTGAATGGTAGAGACGGCGACGATGTCGACATTGGCCCTGCCGCTTTCTGGAGTATAAACGACGTTAAACAGACTAGCTGAGAAGCCCGAGTTCGCTTGACATGTTTTTAGCGCCTGAGACGCCAGCTTCTGTTCGCCAAAGACGGGAGATACGAGGGCCGCGATCGACGCAAGAGCCGCTAGGGGCCGTGTTATCGAGAAGCGCATCTTGTTTGGTTTAGGTGATTTTCGAGTTTGCTGGTTTCTACGTTACCCCGAAGGGGTTACTGGGCGAGAGAAGCGACTCGCGGTCTTTGTCGTCGGCAGTTACTCGTTGGAAGATTGAAGGACCGGGTATGGTTCGTTGGAGAAAGCTGGTTGAGGGTGGTTGACACCGGTGTAAAGTTGAGCTGAGCTGATTGTCAAAAGAAGACTCCCAAATGGATCGCTATTATCCAACATGAACAATAGCCAAGAATCAAGATCGGATGAACAGCGGAAAACGCTTGCCAATGCACAGGGGGGCCGTTGTTGTTTGTCGTCGTCAAAGGCCAGCTTTCAGGCTGTTGGATCGAATCGAGTCGAGTCGAGTGCTCGTCGTCGTTCGTCGGGGTAGAACTGGGGAACAGCGAAGGTGGTTGGCCGTTTCAATCCAACTTGATCCGTGTCACGTTTCCACAACTGAAACGAGCGTGTTGAAGAAGAGCGAGGGTTGGTCGAGGAAGAGGCGAATGGCGCTGACGGATGTGAGGTTTCGTCGCGACAGTGCGGATCCGGTTTAGTTTCTGTCCGCCCGGTTAATGTGGTCAACGAACCCAAGGGGGAAGGAGGTTGCAAAGAATAGGAATAGAAGGGCTCAAGTGGTATTTCTGAAAGAAGGGGGGAGAAGAGGCCGGCAGAGGCAGCGGCACGATGCTGCTTGGGGACGGAGAACGCAACTGGGGGCGTAACTCCTTTGATTTGCAAAACAGAAAAAACGTGTGGGAGAAAGAAGGCAGTGTTGTGTAAGGAGTGAAAGAGGGTTGGTGTCGTAATGAGAGACAAAACAAAACCGGGAGGGCCTAGGAACGGGCGAAGGAGAGAGCTGGAGAGCGGACTAGAGAGAGAGCAGAGGACGGGAGTGCGACAAGATTGGGGCCAGTGCTGAGATCGGGACCCGCCCTTGGCCAGGTACGACAAGGCACAAAGGTAGCGCCCGCATTATGCAGCCCCGGGGAGATGAGGTGTGGCCCCACTAGCGGAGTACCTACCTTCTGCACTCCGCACGTGCAGTCTGCCAGGTACCGTCTTAGCATTTTTGATGAGTTTCCACCCTTCAATTGTATCGTCGCACTTTGACACAACGGGACCCTCGCTTTCCTCCTCTCGTGTTCTTCAGGGGCACTTTCCCTCACACAGCATCGAGTGACACTGTTGATGAATGCCAACGGGAGAGGTTGTACAGGGCAAGCAAGACCTGAGTAAACGTCCTCATCTCGACAGGACTTGGCTGCTTCTTGGGATGCGCAAAGGCCGATCTTGGGTTGCTTCGTCATCAAGCAGCCGCATATGCGCTTCGTTTTTTTTGGTTGGCACTGCCCAAAATGCCTCCATTCTGCACATGCAGCGCAAGGACGGGCAATGCTGGACCATAGGCAGCGTGAGATCGATGGTCCTTCATCTCCCATGTTACCACATTAATGTTAACCACTTTGGAATTCCATCCATAACAATTGTCAATCGTGCTTTCAGACAAAGACAAAGACAAAGGGAAAAAAAAAAAAAAAAAAAAAAAACCCTTTGCTCAGCACTTCATTCTGTCAGGCTTGGGGAATGCCAGTTCAGATGAAGAGACAAGGTACAAGCAATGCTAAAGTGCAAATGTGCTGCAAGTAACAAACGCTCTGCACAGCCCCCTTTGGCGCCGACCAATGACAAGCCATCCCTCCCCCCAGAAAACCCATGAAGGGGAAAACCTCCTGACACAACCCAAGACACGGATCGTAACTCGACGGAATCTACGGACACTGGTGTTTCGGAAAGAGCACGCAAAAGGGTTCCACCGAACGAACAAGGTTCTCCGCTGCAACAGGATAACGGCCACGGCGCCGGGGCGGGCAAAGTCCAAAATTGGAGGGTCGACGTCTTCCATACGTCTTTCATACTGTCTGTCTTTTTACGTGTATAAGACACGCGGCTGGGAGGGAAGGATGTGAGGAGTAAAGACCCTTCTTCCCTTTCAGTTAGTTCCCCTTGGTGCAAGTGCCGTCCGGGTCGGGGATTATCCTCTTCGCCAAGGGGTCTCAGTTGTGATTACATCCTGCACTGCCTGGCTTTTCATCTACAATCACAGAAATTCGCTCCTTTCATTTCACATCTCGAAGAAACTTCAACATTACTCATTCACAAACTGAACCTACTAGACAGATGAAGGCTCGCTCCGGCAAAAGGAACCCGCGCTGTTCGGGCGGGTACGGCAAAGCTGTAGCCCCACCACTAGATTCCATCTGACTGACGTGCAGCAAAAATAGGCGCCATGGAGTCGTCGCTGACTGGCTAATCAGCCAGGGGTAAAATACTACACAGGCATTCCCATGCGTTCTAGACTATCTGCAAGACCAAAGGAATCATTGCGACATTCTTCTCAATGACGTTTCCCGAGATGCCTCAGAATTCTCCGACTTCTCCAAAGTTCATATTATGGGTTTGCCGGGTTAACCAAACAAGGACAGATACTCCCAAGATGCGTGAATCGCAAAAAGTCATTTCACATTCGCCGATCTCCCCTCCCAGTCTCTCCAGCCAATCGACTTTGCACCTTTTCAAGCCTAGCCCAACCACGGATCTTCACGCTGATCAAACATTGGTGTCTGCTCGCGCTGTGGGTGTCCAAGGCGTTTCGTCATTGTGCCTCTTCAGTGCTGAGCAGGTCTTACCGCCTTTGGATTGAAAGGAAAAGCAAGGAAGAAACCTCCGTCAAACACCAGTTTTACAAGTTCCAAGAAAGACGCATCAAGGGATTGCGGGAAGCTTAAATGTTGAAACGGACCGTGACAACAATGTTCTAGATTGCAATATTTGTGCTTGGCATGGTTATGCGCTTGTCTACCCTGGTTCATAATAGCGGACTTTTAAACCGACTTCAGCGTCACAACCATCACGAACTGATATAAACTGACGGATATCCCTCGGACATGCGGCTCTTTTTCTCTCTAACCTCAACCCAGAAGTAGATCAACAACAAGAGCAGAGAAACGGAACGACGAGATAGTCAACACTGCCCACTGCTCACTGCCCACCAGACCCACCACTACGGTACTTTTCTCAATTTGCACCATATTCCCGCGCGTGATTTACAGCCAATCAAGTACATGACCTCCATCCCCAACCATTGCCATTTTTTGGGAGCATTTGATCTCGGAAGTCGGGAGAACTGTGAGGCAGTGCTCGGTCTTTAGCAGGACATAAGAGACGGATCGTCTATATCAACAAGAACAGAACAAGACATGTTCAGTCAAGTTGACCTTGACGTTGTTTGCCGAAACAAGGATTTGTCACTGCGTATCAATTCTCAGTCTTCGGGACCAGCGGGCGGAAGGAAAACAAATTATGAATTTGGATCCGGTTCTATAAACAAGAAACGCTCAAGCAACAAGATACAAGAAACACGGTAACACTGAATATCTAGGATCAATCAAGTACTACAGAAACTAGACTCTGTCAGTATCAATGACCTAGATAACGGAAGCCAGATAATCAACTTTTGTTTTCTTCCACTTCAAACGATAGAAGAAAAAAAAGAAAAACGGAAAAACAAAGAGAAGAAGAAGAAGAAGAAGAAGAAGAAGAAGAAGAAGAAGAAGAAGAAGAAGAAGAAGAAGAAAGAGACTGGGGTATTCAAAAGCTGTGAACCAAGTCACAGTGTGCGAGTATCTTCCATTGTCCAAGATTTGATAAGTCTGCGGTAACTCTTGGTCATCGTCCATTCATTCAACTTTAACCGTGTGTTTCCCAAAGCAATTAGCATACCACCTCTTTCAGGTCCGTGTGGACGTCTCTTCTGCTGTTCTAAAAACAGGTGATTCGCTTCGTCATGCGATTTATTTTTCCTTGAAGCATATCCAACACTGCCATAGTATAAGCACGTTGACTTGGGGAAAAGAACAAAAATCAACTGAGGGATGACTACGGCAGATCAAAGTTAGACGAAACAATCTCACAAGAAACTCTGAAGATGCCACCTCAAAGAGATTCAGCAAATTGCAAAGGACAAGTGAACAAAGGTTGGATTTGAACAGTTATTGGACGTACAAGCAGAGAAAGACTAATTCCCAGAACCTTTTTTCCAAAACGAAGGGGACAAGGAAAATAAATGACAACTTGTAGGTAATAATAGAAGAAGCTTCAAACGAATGGAAAAGAGGTACTCAATACCATCATAGCATCATCGCATCGTCTCATCTCAATCATGTCCCTTTGCTTACTCACTCGGAGCATCACGGGGGCATCAACTCATCAACATCGTCATGCAATACAAGCTTCTCACACCAAAAGCATCTCCTCCCCGTTTTAAGCCCCTAGAATGAAACCCTGATTCCCTTTTCTCCAATTTTTGGATAATTTCTCTAATTCCCATTCCCATATCTCGTCGCCTCCCTAAAGCTCCCCCCTCCTGAGCCCTGCCCAGTAGCAACTTCTTGAAACTCGCCCAGCCCCACCGGCAACTCCCCAACATGCAACTCCCCCAGCTCCCCCAGCTTCCTAACATCTCCCCCGGCAGCCTCAACAACCTTGACCATGGCCTCGGATAATTTTCTTCTCTGCTCCGCTGCCTCTCGTTCCCTCCGTGCTTTGGTTTTCGAAGAGCCCGAGGGAGCGACGCCCGACATCAGAGTGTGGTGGTCCAGGGGAGTGAAGTTGACGAAACCTATTCCTCCTCCTCCTCCTCCTCCTCCTCCGCTACCGCTACCGCCACCGCCGCCGCCGCCAGAGGAGGAGGAGGAGGAGGGTGAGACTTTGCTGTGGGAGGAGGAGCGAGGTTTGGATTTGGAGGGGGAGTGTCGAGAAGAAGAAGATGGGTGTAAAGAAAAGGATTTAGAGGGGTGGTGGTGGTGAGGAGGAGGAGGAGAAAGCGATGATGCCCCTGGGCCGTGGTGGGCCAGGAGGTGGGCAGGCAAAGGTGGCATTGGCGGGTATCCCATAACCCCCCTGTGGTGAGGATGGAAGCCACCATTCATGTTCATGTTCATGTTCATGTTCAATGGTGTAAACCGTCCAGAGCTGTTGGGTAGTGAAGAGGTAGATGCCGAGCTGGTCAGACCCCTACTACGGCTGCTTCCGGTACCAGAACCCTCAGGAACAACCCGGTGTCCACTAGCGCCGATAGCCGCAGCGAACGCACTCGCTGAAGCCCCCAGGTCTCCATGCGACGCGGCGTGCGACAGTCTCGATCCGGACATGGAGGCTGATGAAGCGTGTCCTCGACCGGTAAAGGACTTGCGCTTGCGAACCGCGGCAGGGGACATGAGTCCCAATCCTACTCCAGCAGCACTCGTTGTTGTTGTGGAATGGTGGTTGATGTTTTGCATCGAAGCACTCCGACGATGGAGGCGTTGACGGCCGCTGCCGCTGGCCGAATCAGCGCCTGCAACTGCTAAGCTGCCCGAGTTGGGCTGTTGACCGCCTCTGGTAGGACTCGATTCCCGCGATGAGCGGCTAACGGCGCGAACCTTGCGTGGGGAGGTCTGGTAGGAGGGAAGTCGTGAAGCGCCCGAGCTGGGAGCACGGGGTTTAGGTCTTCGGGACCTGCCGCCGCCGCCGGCGGCGGTGGTCGCACTGGTTGACGAGGAAGACTGCGAAGGCAGGCCTTCGGGATTGCCACCGCCGTTGGAAATATATTGCTGTTGTGCTAGCATGAGCTGAGCGGCTGCGTATGCTTGAGCTTGCGCTTGAGATTGGTTTGGTTGTTGCTGCTGCTGTTGGTTGTGATGCAGTAAATTTCCACCAGAAACTCGAGACGTAGTAGGTTGTGGCATGTGAAGCACGAGCCCTGCTGCGTCTAGTCCGAAATGATGGTCATCGAGGCCTCCCTGGTCGTGAAGCTGCTGGAGAGCCATTTGTAAATTCAATGTAGCCTCGCGGGTGTTGGAGGCATTGGTATCCATGTGAAAGGAGGATGATGGGTCAGGATCGGTATCCATGGCATCTTCTATGGCTTGGTCCCACCAGTTGCTGTCATTGAGGGTGCTGATGTAGACGGGGTGCAAGTCGCAGGCTGAAGACGATACACCACCGACGGCGTGTAAAGTTGATGGGTTAGCAGGCGTAGTCGGTGGTGGTCCACTGACGCTGAATTGCCACGAATTATCAGCGGCGGTCGTGACGGGGGCCGGGATACTTTGGTGTTGCTGATGAGGTGTCTGAATTGGAGTGTGCATCGGTAGGGACAGGTTAGAGGAGATGTCCATGAACGGATCGTCTATAAAGTTCGTGTTGAACAGGTGCGCATGGCTGCTGTCGTTGTTACTGTTTTGCTCAGAAGCCATCTGTCCCGTTAACGGTGGGGACAGCGGCATCTCCGGCCTTACAAGACTGAGGTTGTGTGGTCTTGGACGAGCCGTCATCTTGTTTGGTGACGTGCCCATAGTGGAGGGTGTTGATGAAGTTACTGCTGGCACTGCTGTTGTGGCAGGATGCTGTTTTTGCTTGTTGCCATGTAGATTAGCCGCCTTGTGTCTGAGTTTTGTGTAAAAAGCCTCCAGCCGGGACTTGCGCGGGCTGGTCGAGGCTGACCCAGGCTGAAGGTGTGGTGAAGGAGGGACCGATGCAGACGATGGTGGAAGATGTATGCGTGGTGAGCTACTGCCGTTCACCGTCAAACCCTCGAGTCTCCGCAGCTCCGAGTCGGAGATGGAACCACCGGAGCCCGGTCCTTCCTGGTAACTGGTGCCGAGGATGGAAGAAAGTTCTCTTTGTCCGGCTACAAGGAGTTGGTGTTGTTGACTGTACTGACAATCCATGTTGCTGAGATCAACGTGCGATCCTGCTCGGACTTGACGGTGCTGCAGTGGGAAACTGGTGGAAGAAAAGCGAGCGAGACGTCCAGAAGCCGAATTATTAGCAGCGCTACTCGCTCGGCCGTGGTCCCCTACGCCTAACGATTGCTCGGCAGAGCGATGGTGATCAAAAGGAGGGCAGCTCAGTGAGGTGAGAGGGGGCGACAAGGAAGATTCGTGAGCTTCTCGGCACATGTTCTCAAATCTCCCGTCGCCTCCTCCTCCTTCTGCTCCTCCTTCTTCGCCCGAAAAAGGTGGAGAGGGTGAATGGTCCGGGCTATGGTCGTCCAGCACCACAAACTGGTCAAAGAAATCTGCCGATCCCACGTCGTCCGTCACTGCGTCCTGCCAACAGAAGGCGTTGTCGCCTCCTTTGTTCTCGCCGAGGGGTAAATCGCCAACCGCGAAGGACATCCCTTGGACGCTAGCCATTGTTGGTGGGTGCTGCTGCTACTGCTGTTGCTGTTGCTGCTATAGGGTCGGCTCATATGAAGCTTGTATGCTGCTATATGGTTTTCCAACCGAATGTGGGCGGTGTGTTTGATAATAGCCTTGTTGGTGACGGGATGTTTTTTGTTATGCTGTCGATGCAAACCATGGCGAAGAAGTTGTTGACTGAGAAGCAGGAAGCATAAGGAGATGTCTGCACTGGCCGAAAAGTCAACAAAACCAGTTTGCCCCGGCAACGAGAAGATATGAAGCCAAAATTTCATGTAAGATTGAAGAGTGAGAGGCATGTGCTAGACATTTGTATGCGAGCTTGCAGGGGCGAGGAATGCTGGTGCGATCCATTCCAATTCCTCTCGAGATCTTACCGAAGAGGACATGGTGGGCACGATTCTTCGATGACATGGTATAGCTAGGAGGGAGCTCGGGGCAAACACACCAGGATCATAAAGAAAACGAATCCCTTTCTTTGTCAAACTTTCAGCAGAGTCGAGGGAGTCCAGAGGGCGACGTCCTTCTAGCTCGCCTTGATACAAAGAGCACCGCCCCACACCGAGGTCTGGAATGTGCCGTTGGGTGTAGACTGAGACAGGGTAAAGCATTGTCGTTCCTTGTACAAATAGCAACATGGTTGTGTTCCTTCCCCGATCCTCCCTGTTTATACTGTGCTGATTGAGGTTGTCATCGGCAACAGATGAGAGAGAGCCTCTTGCGCAAGTGTACTGCCACCGATCATGCCTAGTCGTCAGCAGGGTCTTATTCCCAATACAGGGAGGAAAAGGCGCACACCAAGTTTGTTTTGTCACATGGGCCCCCGAATTACGGGACGGTGTGTAATCACTTGTCATTTATCGATGCACCCCAAGGGATGAGCTACCTATTTGTACCCGTCTATCGACAAAGGAATAGAAGCTGTGAGCGCCCGTCTGACGATTGTGCGAAACAATCCCGTTATGTCCCCAATCTGGAGCATTTCATGCACATAGATGCCCCTTGTTCTTCAACGAAATTCCCCCAAAATAAACTCGTCCGCCATGCTCGAGCCGTTATGTATAATGACGGTCTGTTATTCAGGAAAGTTTTTGCGTCCCCAGGGTGCCGAACCCCGACCAAAATGACCGTCCCAATCCCCCCCAGTCAATTTTAATGAATGTCGCATACCCTTGAGCAAACCCATCAATACCCTCGTAGCTGCACGATCCTGAATTCCACAAATCGTGATTGAAAAGCATGAAAATGGTTCCCGCTTTTATGTTCGTCCTGCAGTGTGCCTGACATTGAAGAATGGGATCCCAGCTAAACTCCTTGAAATGCTCCAAAAAAGAATTGACTCCAAACTTGACCCATGCGTTCGTAGAATTGGGGTATAAACAATAAAAAATCTCTCACGCCCTTACAATAGTCAATCTATACGCCTATAGCCATCATGGCGGCGTGCGATATGACGATGATGGTATCGCTGGCACGTATCGTGATGGCAGTTGTTCCGAGGGTTGTACAGGCTGTGCCATGGGAGACGAGTTGGTCGAGTACGCAACCGACGAGGTCACACTGCCTGTTCCGTGCTCTTTCCGCCTGCGCATTCGGGGCCGACTCCGTACCACAGTTGCGCATCGCATGGCTGCCTCGGCCGACAACTGGTAATGGAGAGGGAGACTCCCCTCGACCATGTGTTTCCGGATACCCGCCGACCCACTACCGGCGCGCCGTACTTGTATCGACTCGAGCAGTGCCCGTTCTTCCTCCATCACATCAACGGTTCCGTCACGGTAGCGCTCGTCGACCTCCAACTCCATTGATGCAAAATCAAAACCGTGGTCGACGTTCAAGTCGTCTAGTTTCGATAGAACGGGTGCTGAAGGCGCTGGAAGAGGAGCACCTCGAACGTTACACTGGGTACCAGTTTCGACCATTTCCTCCACCAGGGCCTGAATGCTCCGCGATTGTGTATGGGCTTTATGTTCTGATTGCCTCTTTTCGGGTCGCTGTCGCCTACTCTCCAGGGTGTTTCCTGACGACGATGACGACGCATTTAGCGTCGAGGATGTGGCACTGGAAGAGTAATCATTCTTGCGGAAGGAAGGAGGAAGTAGAGATTTGAGGTTCGCGTCTTCGAGGTCGAATGCATCATCCATTTCAATCCCGTCATCCACCTCAAGGCTGTCGATTCCCGCCCAGGATTGATGATCGGCAGTAGTGGTGGTAGCGGGATCGGGTACCAGCGACATGGCAGTCGGCGGTGACAAGGGCTCCTGCTGCTGCTCCTGCTCCTGGGACGGTTGTTGCTGCTGTTGCTGTTGCACAAGGGATTTGGCCTCCAGTTGAAGAGCCTCCCGTTGCAGGTTTTGGACGCTGAGCTCGTGTGCCAGCTTGTCGACGACATGCCGAGCAGATGGAGATGCGGATTGTGGAGCCGGTTCTGTCGCTAGCGGCGAAGGTTGGAACGAAGGCACTGGAGCTGCTGTGGATGCGGATGCGGATGTGGATGCAGGTGCTGAAGCTGTTGACGTCGCTGATGTTGTTCTTGCCGCGCTTGTCATGGACCACGATGTCGATGGGGTCGAGGTTAATGAAGGCCGTTTCTGAACCTTGTGGTGCGACGGCGGTCGCTGTCGTCGCCGTGCAACGTGGTGACGCCGTACATAGTTGCGTTGCTGGCTGCGTAATTGCTCTTGCATCCTCACATGATGGCCGATTGGGATTCCGTCTAGAAGGAAGCCATCGACATCGGGGGCTGTGTGATTATCATCATCGCGCGTGTTAGCCGGCTGCTCGGCGGCAACTGGCTGCCCTTGATCCTCCATCGAGTAATTGGGATCAAACATGGTTTGTCGAATAGACTATGGTGTTGGATGGGAAGCTGCCGACCCAGCTGGATGGGTTGGAGTGGCGAGATGTCGGGTCTCGTCGCAAGCAAATGAACTAAAGGTCGAGTCGCCCGGCCGGTACTGTCAATGGGCAGTGAAACAGTAGACGGACGGGAGCTGGTACTTGTGTGTTGTGTCGGTGTATGTTTGTTTGTAAGAGGGCAAATGGGTGCGAAAGAGACAAGGGCGGTAGTTGTGACTGAATGCCTTTGCTATCGAGACATGTGTGTAGGTAGAGGTAGATAGGTAGGTAAGTGGGTAGGTAGGTAGATAGAGAGACCGGGAGTTTTCCCCAGTTTGATTTGCGTGGAGCTTTGTTGAGGAGCGAGAAGGTAGGTAAGGAAGGACCTCTCCTCTGGACCTGAGCCAAAGCGCCGGGACAAATCCGAGTTGTCGGTAGCGATGGGACAATGTCGGCCGTTAGTGTAGACCCAGCAGTTGGCCACTCAGTGAGCCAGTAGACCCAAGCAGGAACTGGCCCCAAGCGCCAATCGAAAAGCTGCAAATGGCAACAGGGCACGTCTTGGTACTATGCAGTGTCGATGTGTTGGGTGCCGTGTTGTTGGGGGTGGCACCGGGAATTGATTGATTGACGTTTCGTTGTATGTGGTGTTCCGCATGTCAGGTTTTGCTTGGGAAATGGGAAAAAAGGAGGAACAAGCTGAACGGGGAGGGGAGAGGGAAACGACCGGGAGGAAGGAAAGGACAAAATGGGCATCCGTCACAAAAGCCAGTCAGTCATTCACTCATCCAACATCAAGCCAGGTTGTGAAAAAGCCTCTAGCTGCATCTGTGAAAGTGTCACGGCCTGTCGGGTTCAGAAAAAGGTTGGATCCTGCATGCAGCTGGCTATCATCCACCACCCACATCACACCCGCTCACTGGACTTGTATCTCGTCTCTGGATCTAGCGGCACCACAGTCCGACTGGCTGGCTAACGACGACCGCCTGATTTCCTCGACCCTGTCCTTTACACATTATGTCCACGGACTGTCCACGGACTATGTAATCGACTAATGTGTGATGAGTTGTTGACAAGGCGGTTCTTCACTGACCAGCGACGGAAGCGTGATGATGGAAATGGACATTTCGATATGTATTGAAATGATGATGAATTCCCAGAGACCCAGTTCCCGGTCCCGTCCCTCGCTAGCTCGTCGAGTCTGCCCCGTTCGACTCTCCTTGGGCTCCCCCCGTTCCCTTGGACTGGGACCGTGTCTTGGAAAGCTGGTTCGCTCTGTGGTTGGCTGTGGTGGAGACGGCACGAGGGTCAGGGACCCCATCCATCTGGCTGCCGCCGTGCTGGGTGGCCACTCATTGTCGACTCCACCCTCCCTCCGCAAATGCCAGTCAAATGCCAGATTCTTGTCACGGAACACGCTGTTGCGCGACTCGACTCTGTGCTGGAGCCGGCTCCTTTGCGGGCGAACCAAGCCGTCGGGGACCAGCTCGCCCAATGACTGGCTGCCCTCGCGTTACTTCGCACTGTCAGCATCCTGATCTTTTCGGTGGCCGACCCGGCGTGGGAACAACGGGAGCGTGGGGCGTCCCAGACACACGGTGTCAAATCCCGTCCATCTAACCAAACGGCTACCGTCACCGTCCTCGAGGACCATCGATTCGTCAACTTGGGAGATAATGGGTTTGGGCTTGAGGTGGTGGTGGTGGTGGTGGTTCTTCATCTGCCCTGTTGATGGCAATGAATGGTGGCAGGCCTCCTTGGTCACATCATTCTGGGCAGTCCACCAAACGACTGAAGTCTCGAGCCTGCGCTAGAAAAATCTGACACTTTGCTCCGGGCGGTTGGGTAGCGAAGATCAAGGGGACAATGAGGCACCTGCCGACGCTGGGGATCAAGTCGTGCGACCGCTATAACCCTGAGCCACCCCCCTAGCTAACCCTGGGCTAATATTGGTAATTTCACCCTTCTTTCCCGGTCTTGACCCAAATGGGCTGCTCATGCACTCCTGTCATTCGCCCAGCTGACCTTCCTTGCTACGTTGCATCGCTCCGCGCCCACCAGCGGCGTGAAGCGCAAAGCCATTGGTCCATCACCACCACACAAGGGTGAACCCGCAAACTCTTGTGAGGGGAGGGGATTTTCGCACCCGCACGGATGATCGGATCGAGGAACAACCCTTCTCGTCGTTCAATTCCTGTCCTCTGCACACTGCTTGCTGCCGTGGTGCCCAGAATCGATGTCAGGAATGTCTCCAACCGTACCATCTCCTTGGGACTGGACCTGAACCTCGACGCGAGAGCACGATAAGCGGCACCACAAGAACCGACGCACCCTATCAGCAAGTTTGTCACGGTGTGGTGCCGTGTTTCAACTTCATTTCCTAGTTCCATCAAGAGATGATTCGATGCACAACACGTTCACCGATTCTTTCCGCTTTATACTCCTCCTCTTCACCGTTCTTCCCGTCAACTTTTCGAAATGTGTAAAAAGTGGGCGCCCACCCTTCACTAGTCTACAGTACTTCAGCCAGCACTTCAACCTCGCCCGGCCATTCTTTGCCCAAACAGGCCGATATCACCTCTATGATTCGCCGTCTATTTGTATGAGAATCTCTCCCTCATCGATTATCTGTCATGGCTCGTGAGGCTTGCGGGATGGCAAACCCTAGGGCAAGTCAGCATGGCGAACATGGACGACATCAGGCCATGTGTGCGTTAGTCTAGTGGCGTTTTTTACCTTGTCCACGCCCAAATTCTTGGGTGTGCGGGTGTTTTGGCCATGCATCTCTACGACCTTCCCGTCGCTACATATGCATCTGGCCGTGTTTCCGGGCCATGTTGACGGGTGCAGTGGTTGACAATCAAGGGGTCGTGAGTGATGCTGTGTCTCCTCCTCCTTCTTCGTTCATTGAGTGCCCTGGGATTTTCCAGCTTCGTCCCAACGGTCGGCTTTGTGCATTTGCCCCCCCTTGTCCGTCCTTCACACATGAAACAAGCATTTACTATAAAGCCCGATGAAGCCGAAGAGCTTGATTGAATGGCCAAGGGACCACAAGGAAGTTTTCAGTTACGGCTATCTTTCTCCGAGATAAGAGAGGCGGCTAAGACATCTTATCATGGCTGTGTGAACATCCAAATCTTCCCTCAAAGACATCACATCTGTGGATTACCAAAAGTCATGACGATCGACATCGAATTGATGAACCACCGCCCTGGAAACACTGTAACGAACTCCGCAATCCCACAAAATCCCAAACACCACCCACCCACACTCCACGAAATCCACAGGCCATGAACTGGTGACCAAACCGCCGGGCCAACGCTCAGCCAACGGTTTTCCACTGTTTCACCACTTCCAGTACACTACATGTGTTTCGGTTGATCGCTTGGGCCGTTCCAACTTGGTCGTCTATCACTGGACTCGCTTCTGGGCAAACCGCAAATCTGGCTAGGCATCAGTTTCTTTCTTTCTTTCTTTTGTTTGTCACCAGAGTGTAAGCAAGGGGGGTCACTGAATAGCCGGCCGGAGCTCCTGTTTAGTCGGCGCTGTTGCTCGACCCTGACGACGACTGCTAGGCGGGAGGGTACAGTAATCATAAGCCCTGATTTCAGGATCGAATGATTGTGTTTGTGCTGCTCAGGGCGAGAGTATAGATTCGAAGACTCTCTTGCACTGTGGGATGAGCATGATGACCACTGTTCTCACGTACATGGTACACTTATTCTACTCTTTCAGTTTTGGGTTGAGCGATACCAAAACCATAACGAACCATCATCATCCTAAACACATCAATTTGTCAACAAATGTGAATCCCCTTGGCTTTCTAACCTGGTAGGATAGCCCCCAGCCCCGTTCACGTTCAATTTCCCCAAGCTATTTCTGTAATATGAAATGCCACAGGTGTGACCTCATATCTTCAGCTGACTGATGATCAACGGACCCCTCAGCTTGCACCATCAAGCCAGCGAACATCACCGGGATCTTCACTATTCCAGGGTCTCTTTGACTCACTCTTCTTACGCAAGCGCTATCTACTACTACGCTCCTACGCTGTGGACGGCAAAGCATCACGTATGTAGGTAGCGAAGAAGAAGTCGCCGACCCGTCAGTTCATGGGTTGGTTCGATTTGTGTTAGCGTACGCCAATGGGAGGTTTTTGTGTTTACACGTTTTCCTAGCATCACGCTGAGCTGTGAGTATGCCAAGCATAACCTAACCCCGGCGTCATCGTTCATGTGCAGTACATCAAATTCGAAGAGGAGTCGAGAACTCGATCATTGCGCAAGCGAACTTCAGGATCGATGTCCAAGTGGAAGGAGTTAAGAATTGAGTTGCACCCCCCGAGTTTATCGACGGGTCTCACGGGGAAAGAGAGGATGGACAAGACTGAAGGGGCTGCTGCGTTTTCAAGTTTCTTCCGATGTTGATGGACGGGACGGAAGGTGCGATTTCCTATCAGCCCCACATTATCGTCCAGTATTAGTGTATCTCTACTGCCTTAGACGACAGGAACCCCGGTCGGTGATCTTTCTTCAGACATTCTCACATGAGATCATGACGGCAAGAACAACCAGGTGGCCGTCTCCCGTGAAGTGGAAGGGAAGCTTCCGCGAAAAAAGGCTCTGCGCAAAGCTATCACCATAATCATCTCTTCATCAGACACATCTCTGATCACCTTGCTATTTATCTCCGCCGAACTCTCGCAGCTTGCCGAGCGTGCCTTGGCCGGTACGAGTACTCAAACTCTCAGTCCCTGCTTAGGATCACTGTCGCATACGAAACCAAAACCATCCAACCGATGACCGCACTGGTGTGAGTGACACGAAATGACATGCCATAGCATGGCACAACACCGATCCATTCATCCAGCTGCTGTTGTGGCAAAAGCATAATAATAGTGTAATGTTCAAAGACTCAATAACTGCTGTTCTTCTCAAAGGCCCCCATGTCCCTCAACCTCTTCAAGTTTGGCGCAAAGTCGGCAGTCGGTCATACTCATCATACTTAGTTATTAGCCCTACCGTCCCAAGGCCCTAGCCTAGTCCCTGCCATTCACATCGCTACCGACTCTACAGTCCCAATCGATCCTGGGTCCCTGGCCGCACTGGTTTGGCGCTCGACAATCATGTCACTTCACCCTTGACACGTTACATCCGATCAATTCATCCGAACAATTCAGACACCGTTCAGCTAATGTCGTAATATCGAACTGCTGCCTTGATGGTTCAACGCGTAAGGTGGTAGATGATAAAAGGAGGGGATGTGCCACACTCCCAGTCATTCTGGGGGCGAACAAAATCACCCAGATTCTGGGCCATCGACGATGGGATAGTGGGTTGCCTATTCTGTGCCTGTCAAAGCGACAATGCCAGTCGGGAAGGGCTAATAGGACAAACGGAAATGGCATTCATCGGCTGAGACACACAGGAGGATCTCGGCAACGACAAAGACGAACGACAACAAATGTCGCAATTGTCTACTGGGTAGCTCAAAATAAGAGATAATGGGCCAGCTATTCCCGTCCGTCCGTCCGTCCGTTCATCCGTCCGCCCGTCTCTCGGCAACATCGAGATTCCCGTCCGAGACGGGCCCCAGATGGGCGCGATGGACGATATGGGCGATGTGGACAAGACGGGGAAAGTCCTTGGTTTCCGTCTGGCGAAATCACCCTATGAAGTCTTAGACATCCTGGAGCAATTTTCTTTGTTCCCACTTCGGGCTTTCCGCGGCCTTGTTTGGGTTTTGTTGTGCCAGAGTAGAGAGCTGAGTCCTTTCTCCTCTCAGGAACCGGCAAGCTTTCAAGGACAAAGAGCTTCACACAAGCGGCTGTTGCATCCCACCCCAGGTCAATCACCGGAACCTATATCCAGTGCTGTAGACATGTATGCGGAGAGAGGAGGCGGCATCTTCCGTGGTTTTTGATGATGATCTTGATCAGTTTATGCTTGACTAGATCCTCTTTGTGTCTCTTTATTTCTTTTTCCTTTTTTGCACTACCGGTGTAAGCATTCCGGGGCAGAGAACTTACCCACAGAGTTAGATACGACGACCAGAGCAGGCTCTCCCATTTCCAGATTGCCGGATGATCCCTTCTCTCACGAAGTTTTCACGTCCCGGGCGTGGTGCCGGTATCCCCAGCCGGCATTCTTCTAGCTTACTACTGACGGATATCCATCGTGCTTTGTGGTCATCAGCACCTAAAAGAGAGATCCGACGAACAGTAACTGAAAGATCTGAAGCGCGACCTCTTCTCTGCACGGTCTGGTTTGACATTGACCTCCGCATGAGCCTTGTCGAAAGAGTGCTTAACCCACAGAGATTACCGGCACGCTTTTGGTATTTCGAGCAGCATCGTCAACCCTGTTAACCATTCCCACCTCAGGTACCGGTACCACGCCACTAAAGGCGCCTGAACGGCAAACTATTTCGATAATTTTGCCATGGAGCTCAATCGGATAATGCTTATCTTGAGTTAAGCTGTCCGCGGCAAAGACAAGTATGAGGGCTGGGGCCAGCTACCCTCGGTGATTGTGCAATCACCTTCCTCGTATTCGACAACAGAAGGATCAAACCGGTCGTTAAGGGGTAGGCACTCTATTAATGCCAGTCAAGCAACCCACACACTCAAGAACCGATGAGCTTCGCTTCCCACGGGAAATGAATTGTACAGCAGAATCCTGAGGTCGTCCTTGTACTCGTCCATGAGCAGGTCAACGTGCTGAATGAAGTGGGCGAGAGCAAATAGCCAGTACTCTCGCGACAGAAGGCGGTATCCGAACTTGTAAGTGGCTGCTGCTTCTAGGGGCGCGTTGGGGTTGCTGACGGGGTTGATCCGGTTGGGCTCTTCTCCACTGCCGCCGCCGTTATCCCTGGCGCAGAACTACCCCGTACTCTTTGACGACAAATTTCCCCCATTTCCGTAGCAGTTGCGGCGTCTTCTTTCATCCTCGAGGTCGCCATAGCGGGTATAGTCTCCTTCTCCTTCTCCTTCTTCTGCGATGCGATTGGAGAGGGACTTGCAAAGAGGGGGCTGGGGCAATCCGTAGGGTTTATGGGAGACGTAGAGGTATTCCCCGGCCCCATATTTCCCGGCCCCAGTAGCCGACTTCGAGGACCCCGAGGCAGTCCTACCGGACTTCGGCCTCGAAGGCCTACACCGGTGATCGTGCTGGAACTCGTAAACAGGAGAGAGCTTGCAGCCACTGAAAACATAGAGCCAGACGGCCCAGCGGTAAAAGTCGTCTGGTTCGTCGTCGTCGTCATCGTCGTCATCGTCGTCATCATAGTTGCCGTTGAAGACAACGTGGCCTGTTTGGGCCTCAACGAAGACATCGCGATTACGTGGGCTGAGGGAGGTGCTGAAGTATTCCGAGCAATCGCAGTAAACCCGATTGTGGAGGAAGAAGACTTTTGTTGGCCTTGAAGTTGTTGCCGGATCTGAGGATTGTCCGTGTTGTCGTTGTTGCTGTCGGTGGCCGTTGCCGCCGCCGCCGCCGTCAACGGTGACTCTGATCCTCTCGCAGAGGATTCCGCAGACCGTGGGATTCGATTCACACGGGAGAACCCTAGAATAAGCACGACAAGGACGGTCAAAGGCCGGCCACATGATTTCCACAGACTGGGGCTTCGAGGTGTCCCCCGCTGACTCTGAGATACGTTTCTCCGCTGGAAGACTGTTTTCCGCTGGAAGAGTGTCCTCCCTTGAGGTAACTTCCGTTGTCCCCGTATCATCCTGTTCGTTTCTCTTCTTCCTTCTGAATTCCCTATTCGTCCTCATCGTGTTAGTGAAAGTTGAGCGCGAAGTATTGGAACCATGATTTGAATAGCAGTTCATTTACAAAAAAAAAAAAAAAAAAAAAAAAAAAAAAAAAAAAAAGCCCCCCGAGTACACAATTTCTCGAGTTTACCTTTTTGAAGGTTTCCTTTTTCCAACACTTCAAATTTCTTACGAAGTCTGCCATTCGCATGGCATACCAAATCTGGCATTAAGTATGTGCCCCTGTGCCAGTACGATCGATGTGCAGCGATATATGCTATGTCATGCCCGGCACTGTAGCATACAGTAAATTTTTCCGATGGTGTTTTCCCGAAAGTTGGAGACACAGGATGCGAGATGGGTAGGGGTTATTCCACAGGTTATCACGACGATGGAATCACGGAAGCGCTTGTGGACATTCTTTTCGCCATGTGTCTGCCTTGCCCCACCAGCTTACTGCCCTGCCTCATAGGTCCTGCATCAGCACCGATTAGGCAGACTGCTCGGATCGTTGTGAGGCATGTCACAGCTCTCATCGTTTCTTTCTTCATTGGTTGGGTTTCATGCACCTTGGCAGTTTTGGATCTGAGTATTTTAACGATTGGTGAGGGTTTTCAATGATCTGCAGGACATCTGTAACTGCATATGTGACAACTCGCAATGATACTGGATTGAATAAGATGGTGACTGCCCAGATCAGGTAGCTATAAGCAGCTTTGGGTGTTTCCAAGACATTTCCTCAAGAGGGTTCGCAGAAGTAAGCTAGCAAAGTAATATTCATGCTTTGGGGTTCCGTGTTGAGCGGACTTTTTATGTCGGTTTTCTGATGGTGCCAGGGACAAAAACAAAATAGACAGAAAAAGAGAAAAAAAAAACAAGTTGTTGTGATTGATCGGTTCAGTATATGATTTCAATGTCAATGATCGTCATGCAACCGTTGATCTGGGCTAAGGATCACGACGATCTGGAAAATGAATCTGAACGTACACGGACTGCTCTGCGCTCTTTTTGGGCATCGTGGTAGCGTGGTACATCGCGAAAGTTATTTTGAGTGGCATCGACATGACTTCACCTGATCTTAGAGAATATATCCAGGGTGACGGAGGTTCGTCTATGTTTCCACCGGGTTCATGATATGGAAGTTAATGTCGGGGGTGGGGTGTGCAGTTACATGCTAATTCATTCATTGTGGAATATCTGCATGCATGCTCGTCTGGCGGAATGCTGAGCATCCAAGTCGGCCTATTGTTGAAGCATTCCAATCTGGGTGTGCTAGAAACTTGCAGAGCGTACAAGTAGTGTACATCGGAGACGACAATATGGAAGAGAAAGGAGAATGGCCCATAGTACGGTTCAAGGACCCGACGTTGAGTGTGGGTATACTCTCACCTCGGTGAGCACGGTCAGAGACAACCCCAAACTGGGGCAGGTGGGGCTCCTCCGCACTTTCTTGCCAGGAGTTACCCACTTCTCCCCGCCACGGATTCCACTCAACCCGCAATTGACCACATCACGGACTGGGATTGTCCAGGAACACTGACTCAGTCAACGGCGGGTACGTACCTCTTATATCATATCGACGGCGGCGACGAGCACAACAACAACAACAACAACAACAACAACAACAACAACATCATCAACAACATTACGACCATGTCCCAAGCATTCCGTTTCCCGGCCGGCCCAGCAAAGATCCGGACTCTCTACATCCGAGTCAAGCCAGCACCAACCAATCTGGCGGAGCGACGCGCTGTCCTCCGCGCCCTGAGCCAACATGGCAACATTGAGATGTTCAAACAACTCTACGACTCCTCCTCCTTCATCTCCGTAGCATCATCCCAGAACGTAGCTGCCAGCATCGTTCGAAGAAGTCCTCTTCAGTTCGATGTTCTCGCTCGAAACTCGTTCGACCCTCGTGTCCCCGACTCCATCCGACTACCACCACCCATCGATACATCGACAGCCGTCTCACTACCTAGCGTCGCTGCCACTGGCACTATTACGAATTCAAACTCTAAGCCCGGGCAAACAGACCTCAATCCACAACGGCTGCCACAATCACCGTCCTCATCCAAACTTCCAACTCTGCCCGAGCGAGACCCGACCGCCCTCGTAACCAAGACCTTTGTCCTTGAAGCCTTCCCCGCCCCCGAGTACCCGCACAAGGAACACATCCGCATGTCCCCTCTGTACGGGCCCTGGCCACGCGACGATTCCGATCCATCTTCCTACGACACCCCCACGTCACCAAATAGGCTGACCCTCACCTCCGCCGCCCTGCGCGCTTCGGTGCCTCAAGACATGGCCTACACCGGTCTGCACGACTGGGAATCGGCGGGCCAAGATGCCATAGACGTCGAGGAGGCCACAGCTATTGAGAAGGGGATCTCGGCGGACTCGGCGACGATGGTGAGGACGTGGAGAGCGTTTTGGAGGGAAAGGGTAGACAAAGGTGATACATTGCAGTATAAAACTGGGACAAAAGGTGATATGGGCAGCGCGTATAGCCATATCATGAAGAGGAAGATGAAGCAAGAGAACAAAAAGAATCTTCAGAAAATACTGTCTGTATAGGTCACGACAACGAAACAAAACCAGGCCAGGGATAAGCTCAATGACACAAGATAGGGATGGAAAAGGGAAGATGAGTGAGTGAGAAGGCGGCTTAGTCTATGGGTTAAAGGCAAATCGTCGGAAGAAGACGACAAATGCTGCTGGGAGTCTTGTTCCAGCACCGGGAACACGCCCATCCCAACACAAACTCCGGTCAAGTTCAGGATTGGGTGAACATGCCATTCTTACCGCCACAAGCGTTACGGTATGTTTCAATGAGCCCTGGCTAAACTCTGGCCATGCGTATATTGACTAAACTGTCATTATAGTGGCAAGGGCTGTCATAATTAATGACTTCAATCTTGGACTTTTCCATGCGCTCAATGGATGACAAAGTCCCGCCTCCTCAACCTCCTCTCCTCTTCCCTTTTCTCATACAATACCCTTCTCCGACGCTTCAACAAACAGCAGCCCACCAATGACAACCCCACGACTAATGGGGTACCGATCGCGAAACCAAGGCCAAAGGCAAGCCGTTTACTAACCTCCGAGCGATGTTCATTGCCGGGTTTTTTAGAGGGGGTTGGCTGCTCCACGGATGAATCTCAGTCAGCACTATTCTCTCTTCGATGTGGCGCCAATCGAAGAACAGGACAACATACCTCATCTCCTGGAGAAGTCGAAGGCTTGCTCCCCTCCGTCCCGCTAGCATACGGCGGTTGACCAAGTGTGAAGAACGGAGACTTCGCCAGGGGTGTCCCATCCGCAGACCCGTGGAGTTCAACCTGGTAAAGTCCCTCGGGTGACCAGCGAAGGGGCGATGGGATCCCAGTCCATTCGAATGCGTTATTTGAGGAGGAATCGATTTCCGTCGTGATATTTATCATATATACCGTCACCGTCCTAGTGTCTCCACTGCCATCGTCAGTCTCGCTATTGTCGATGAGCTGTGCGGTTATGAACAATGGGTAGGACTCGGGCGGTACGAGAGCGGTGGTAGTGTCCCAGGTTAATCGGACGGCTGAGCCGTAGCTGAGACTTGTGAAGGAGTTGGTGAATTCGGCCGTTATGAGGGTGGTGAAGAGGAGGAAGGATAGACAAGTCAAGCTCAGGACCCGGCACGCGAACGGCATTCTGGAAGGAGGAGACGGCGTCGTTCACCCTACTGCGACGTCCTTTGTGTCTACCCTTCCAAATGAATCCAAGATCTTGGGATAAGGAGAGATGAAGTAGGGTTGCCAGGCAGTTTATGCATAGGTTGATGGGTGAAGGGGTTTTGGGGATGGTCCGATTCGTCGACACATAGTACACCCGGTGGCTGGATTGTGAATCAATTTGGTTACCTACTAGTTATGCCCGTGTGAATGACGCGGAGCAGTGCGAAGTCTGTGTGACGAGAGTACGATGGGTTTCAGACATCTTTTTGACGAGTCGGTGTTGACCATATCATATGGAACACCAGTCCATCGCCACTAGAGTGTATGCCATCAGCTGAGCGTCTGGCTGAGAACCGCACTCGAAATTCTGGAAAACCAATATTTAGGCCACCCATACCGAGTTTGCACGATAAGACACGGCTGGGTCAATAAAGATGAATGGGCCACTGAATCGATTGCCGGGCCATGACCTCGGATCTTACTTGCCAATCCATATGCAGGCATATAGTGTAATATAAATTCATTAGACTGTTCCGTTCTCGCTACCAAGCGGATTGCTCAAGCATTGCCTAATGCAGTTCTCTAGTTCGCTTTCTTTTGGGACTTGAACTACTGAATGTTTTTGTTCCCGCCACTACTTAGACGACCAATTTTGTAGACCCGACGAGGACTTACACAAATGTAAGATGAGCCGATTCGACTGCCTGAAGACTTATAACGCCGATGGCAGCAAAGCTGCGGTTTCATGTCTTCCTTCTTGACTATATGGTTCAGCCTTGCCTGCAATGTTGACCTTTACCATATTTTTGCTCTGCAGAGAAGAGAACAGGCTAATCGTAATTTGATTTCATAAACCTTCTACATATACTCGTCTAACACATATCGTCACATCTTGAATTGTGAGTTATAGTACCGCGCCCTTGTCACGGCACCAAACTAAGAACAATGACCAACAACTACGACCATCTAGCACAAAGCCTTCTGACACCGATCACACATGACTTATTTGGATAGAAGACTAAACCCTCTCATGTTCACACCGCGCAGACATGAAGACTTCTTGACGTATACCATATTCACTGGGCCAAAACTTGGGATCCCGTCCCCTCTTCCCTTGATATGCCAGTGACCGCTAGGCTAGTAGTCGGCTCGGTGATGACCGGTGAACCACCTGGTGTTGTATAATGCTTTTTCTTCTTGCTTTTGCCTGTTAGGGATGTTGATGTCTTCCTCCATTGAATGTGTGGAGTTGGTGAAATGATTATTTTGTCGCTCTTGAAAACCCTTCCATAACTGCTGCTGCCTCTTTTGTCTATATACTGATGACCTTGCAACGTATCCCGACGCCCAACCACTAAATAAGACTGCGTAACCTGGTATTGTCCCTCTTGTCCATCGGGATATATCTCTCCGCCAACACCTCCTGCACGCTCTTCTTCATGACGTCCTCCCTCTTGGTATACCTCTCCTGCAACGCCTTGTCGATATCCGACACGTGCAACAGTTTCCGGTCCATCGCGGCCTCGAACTTCTCTTCGGCGAGTTCAACCGCCGCCTTGCCCATGCCCACCGCCTCCTCCACCTTCTCGATGCCGTGGCGGCCCTTCTCAACCGCCTTGTCGACGACGCTGTTCACCACGCCCCTGACCACATCAGCATCGTGCCTCACCTCCTCAGCGACCCTCTGCGCCACACCCTTGGCAACCTGCATTTCCTCCCGGGCTTCTTGGCTCCACAACCTCGCCGTTTCGGCCGCCCGCCTCCTCATCTCCTCCGACCTGACATGCGCCTCCCTAGCCATGATCTTGCCCGTTTCCCTGCCCTCCTCCGCCGCATACCTCATCCTCTCAGCCGCGATCCTGGCCGCCTCCTTCGCCGCCTCCTTCGCCTTCGCCGCAGCATACTCGCTGCGATCGATCGTGAAGCCGAACAGACTGGCAACAGCGTCCTCGGCCTTTTCGCGGACGGACGACCAGTCCTTCGTCTGCGCCCACCGCACCGCGTTCTGGATCTCCTGGTTCCACCTGTCCTTGACAGACTCGACGAAGCGGTGGCGCGCGCGCTCGACCAGCTCGGAGCGAGGGGGAGGGAAGTAGGCTAGGTCTTCATCGTTGACGGGGTAGCGCGTGCGCAGGTTGGTGGGGAGAGTGTCGCGGGCGAGCGTGTTGACGAAGCGGGTCTGCGCGCGTAGGAGGTCGGATTGGTGCGTGCGGTTGCGCTGGTGGGCGGAGATGGCGAGGTAGGTGAGGCCAAGGGTGAGGGTTGCGCCGCCGGTCTGTTTTGTAAATGCCATAGTTAGCTAGGTGGCCTAGACATGTGATTGTTTACTTTGGAGTTGCAATGACATACAACGCCGGCTACGAAACCCATTGCTGCGACTGGACGTGGGGTGAGGGTGGGTTCAGGTTCTTAGTATAGGGACTTTGGTGAGATCTACTCGAGGTAGTGTAGTGTCGTAATAGAGACAGACCCAAAGGTCTCGACTCTACCGAACGAAGGGTGGTTGAGTGAGTGGTTGGAATGGAAGAACGTGGCAGATAAAGACAATTGGGAAGAAAGGGTGACGTAGTTGGGAATTGGGACGAAAGAATGGCGTTACTAACTTTCCGTTAGGCGGCCCCTGGTGGGTTGCTGTTAGCGAATCCCGCCCGCTGCGGGACGTGGTGCCACTGAGAGTGTCCGGTTGCGGGATCCGGAGGTGCTGTGGATCTCCTTGGCGCTGTTGATCCAGCACTTTTAGGCGGGCCACTAGCGGACCTTACGGCGGTAGACCCGCGGTAGCGGGCGGACCAGGACCCCAAAAGCACAGGCCCAGGGCCGAGAAAATTTCGGGTCCCGCACCGCAAAAGCTCCGCTCGACGTCGCCTTGGGGTGTCCGACATCCGCGCTACAGCGACCCGGTCCACTGCCAGGAACCCTGCGAATTCAGTGGGTGTTGCCCCGTTCGCGCCGAGCCCCGAATCTTGAACTATTCGCAATTCGAGATCTCTCTTTCTCCGTCTTCCGGCAGCCACACCGACCGACCCGATTGACGACTGCACGACGACCGACCTGTCCGGCCACCACAGGACCTCCACTCCACGCCTCTCTACACAAGTACCTCCCTTCCTGCGACTGCGCTTCTCCCCGACCAAGGGACAGCGCGCCAGGACTTACACAACTCGAGGCCATACCAGGGACTAGTTCCTCCACCAAAACACCACAGACACAATGGCCGGCGCCCACGTCAAGTACAGGCACTTGAGCCGTAGCTCAGCGCATCGCCAGGCTCTGCTGCGCAACCTTGTCACTTCGCTCATCAAGAACGAGACCATCCATACCACCTACCCCAAGGCCAAGGAGGCCCAGCGCCTGGCCGAGAAGCTCATCACCCTCTCCAAGCGCGACACCGAAACAGCACGGCGCAGTGCCCAGGGTATTCTCTACGTATGTTGATTATGCTCCCAGCGCCTCAGTCCCTCATATTATTCGCACAGCAGCTGATTTATACCCTTCCTTCTATGCGTCTCTCTAGACCCCCGACCAGCTCCTCCCCAAACTCTTCGGCGAGATCCGCGAGCGCTACGCCAACCGGCCAGGAGGCTACACGCGCGTCCTGCGCACCGAGCCCAAGGACCAGTACTCGCAAGCGCCCTCTGCCATCCTCGAGCTTGTCGATGGGCCCAAGGACATGCGCTTCGCCATGACGGCGGCCACGGTGGCGCGCGACCGCGAGCAAAAGACGGAGAGCACGGACCTGACCAAGAAGAACATGGACAAGGTCACGCGCTTCCGCAAGGATGGCATGCGCGCGTTCGAGGACATGGTCGCTAGCCTCAGGGATATGAAGTTCACCGCGGGCGCGATAAATCCCAAGGAGTGGAAGAAGCTTGATCGTTAAGCGGTTGGGGCAGAGTGGTGTTGTGGTGCAGCGGGGTTGCGGGAGAAAATGAGAGAGGATGGAGGGTTTGGTTTCCCCCCTGAAAGAGAGAGGCAGGCAGGTGTGCGTGAATAGCTGGGAAAAGGCTTCATCACCTGCCGTCTTCGAAGCCATGGGAAAGGAAAGGGGTTTGTTATCTCCCTCTCTTTGTGGTTTGGGGTAGACGCTATATATGTGAAGGCTTTTAAATAGTCAGCCTACACACTAACCAGACCACTCTGCTGTCGGTTCAGTAGGGAAAAAGGGGGGAAAACCAAAGTGTACAAATATCACGAGACAAGAAGCAAAAGAGAGTGTAAATATACAAGGTTTGGGATACACTTTGGCTTCACATAAAATGGGACTTGGGAGACTGGCAAACCATATGCCCCGTTACATGGATTGGTGACTTTCAGGATGTTGTCTTATTGCTCACTAGGTTTGTACAGTAGTAGTAGGTATTGTATTCCAACAACTACGTATGCAGCCAACTTTTTAATCCATTATGTAACACCGAATCCCCTTGACAGTTTTGATCATCCGACGCCTTTATACATACCATACGACTGACTGGACCTTTTACACAAAATCAAAAGTATCGCCCTGCTCGGTAATCATCTTGCCCGCCCTCTTGGTCCCCACGATCCTCTCTAGCTTCATAATATCATACTTGCTGAACATGACCTTGACGTGTCCCTGCCCGTGCTCTAGCATCAGCGCCTGCTCGCTCTTCTGCAGGTACCCGCCCGCAATCTCCCTGTAGAAGATGGGGTTATCCGGCAAGCCATAAAAGATGACGCGCTTGACGCCCTTGATGGCGTACCGCCTAAAGTGGTGGGCGCGCTCCGTGTACAGCAGCACGCGGTGGCGGCCCGTCAGGAAATGCGAGCGCGCGCGCGACGCTTCGGGTGTGTCGGCGTACTCGGAGATGTTGCCGAACGTGACGCTCTCGACGGCCGGGTTGTTGGCAAAGTAGTTGCGCACGCGCACAAAGTCGAGGTACGAGGGTATGAAGATGAGCGTTCCCGCCGCGTCCTTGGCGGCCCGCTTGACCAGCGTCGGCACGATGGCCTTGGTGAAGTAGGCGAAGCGGGCGTCCGGGTCGGCAGCAATGGAGGCCGCATCGAACCGGCTGAAGGTCTGGCGCGTCTTGACGCCCAGGTACTGGATCACGCCTGGGTATTCAGCTTGTAGCCGGGCTTTGCCTGCCCAGTTGTGGCAGTAGAGACGCTGCAGCTCAGCCAGCTCGGGCGTGTTGAAGGCGCTGAAAATCACCGTCTGTCGGAAGTACTTGGCTTGGTCGTCAAGGTACCAGGAGCGCACGCGGGAGAAGTCGCAGCCGTGGGCGTCGCGGGGCTGGAGGTTGAGGTGCTCGAAGATGAACTCGACGTGCTCCCAGTTCTGCATGAGCAGGGCGTCGGCCTGGTCGACAATGACGAGCTCGATGGACGAGAGGAAGTCGTAGTCGAGCTTCTTCTTCTCTTCCTCGGAACCGATGGCCATGCGCAGACCAAGAGGAGAGGCAAAGATGATGTCTGAGTTGTAGAACTGCGAGAAGTACTTGATGGTCTTCCGAGTGAACTTCATACCGAGACGGAACATGTCGTCGTCGTTACCGGCGAAGAGGTCGCGGAAGTCTTCGGGCTTGTCGTCAGAGAACTTGGTGGACTTGTCGACATAGCCATCGTCGAAACGCTTGCGGTTTTCTTGTTGCTCAGGAGCGGCGACCTTGCAGATCATTTCGACCATCTTGACGCATGACTGGCGAGTAGGGAGAATCATTAAGACCTTGGGGCGGGTAAAGCCCTGGTCTCTAAGCTCAAGGGTGTCGTCTCTTTGCAACTTGGTGTTGTTCTTGATTACACGGTCACGGGTCCTGAGTAGGTATCAAAGTCAGCTCTCTGTTCACCTCCTTTTTTTTTTTTTTTTTTTTTTTTCGTGTTCCCATCAGACTTACTTGAAAACATGGTTGAGCGCATGAAGGCACGCCATCCGCCTTACGCTCTCAGACGATGCCACTGACCGGTTGCAGTAAAGCATGTCTTGATAGTTGAAGAGAAGAGGTGCTATCGCCTTCTCAGCTTCGTCGAACTCGGTGTGCTTAGCCATCGATTCGGCTAGTCGTTGCTTGAGCTTAAGATCGCCAACTCCAGAAATGGAATGGGGAAGTTTCTGCTCAGCTGAGTCGCCTGTCTCTGGGGTGTTGTAGTATATCCTGTTGGAGTTTTTTGCTATCCTGTCGATCCTCCACTTGTTCGCCTGAATAGCCTTTATCCTAGCCTGAAATGTGGCCTCTTCTGGAGCAGCAAAGTGAGTTTCGAAGGGGTCTGAGTCGTCGAGGTCGTCATCTTCGTCGAACAAGTCCTCTAATGGTGCATCCTGGGGATCTTCCTCTGGCTCGTCAACTGCATCCACGTCCTCCGTCACCTTCTCGCCGTCTTCGTCGTCACTGTTGTCGTCGTCTTCCGTCTTGGTAGCTTTGTTCGGACCTTCCTCCTCAGGGCGATCCAACTTCCTCTTTTTCGTCTTGGTTGCACTCTGGAAGCTCTTCAGAAGACTCATGTATGGCTGACCAGACTGGGCATCCTCCTCCTCATCCTCTTCTTCTGATTCCTCCATCTCATCCTCAGAAACATTGGATTCCTCTTCAGAAATGTCCTCCTCCTCATCTTCCCTGTTTCAGTCAGTATGCTTTCCAGTTCTTTTTTCCCTTGAGTGTTGACATTTTCTTACTCTTCGTCCTTGTCGGCAAGTCGGGCGTCGTTGAACTTGGATGAGCGAGGGCCGAAACCTCCTCTGGCACCACCCCTCGAACTTCCCCTGCCGCGTCCTCTCGAAGCTCCTCTGGCGCCTCCTCTGGAGCCCCCTCCCCTGGATCCTCCTCTGCCTCTGAAACCTCCTGCACCACCTCTTCCACGACCTCCTCCTCCACGGTCACCACCGCGACCTCGAATTGCCATTTTGATGCGGTAAGAGTTTTCTCAAATTTTGAGATTTGAGGTTGGTGAGATAAGAAGTGGTAATTGATGTGAAATCAAATTCAACAAAGGTGAAAAAACCGATACGGAAATTGTATTCAGCCTTGTCAACGGGCCAAGAAGAAAAAGTCCAAAAGTCCAATGGAATCTTGAAAGAAGGGCTTGGCGAAGAGCAGCCTTGTAACGCCACCCCTCCCCCTTGACCCTTGCGAAGAAGAAAGAACAATCTCAAGTCCGCCAACCAAGCTGAACATGGAAGTGTGGAGACCTGCTTATCTTATCTTAGCGCGCACAACACCCAAAGGTCCCGCATTGCGCTGCAAAACCAAAAATTCGAGCAGAGGTCCCGCCTACTGGTCCCCATATTTTGCGAAAGCTGAATGGAGTACCTCTAGGGCGAAAGAATGGAAGTTTTAGTGACTGCCTGCGAACAGACAGTGACGGACCCGACTCGACGGCCGGGCTGCCACCGAGATCCTCACACTGGAGTGCCATTGACAGCGTGACCTATCCTCAGTGAAAAAAAAAGTGTACAGCGGAGGTCGTGTACAAAAGTGACTTCCACTTCTCTTTCTGCCAGTGCCCAGCCCGTGCCCACTCTTCACCAGTGCAAGCCCACCCCACCCCCCGGCCAACCGCTAGCCTCTCTCTCACCCCGAACCCGAAAACAGCGACTGCTGTCTACATTTTCAAAGAGCCCCATAATCTCAACCTCGACGGCTCCTCCCCTCCTCCTCGAACTCCTGCTTCCTCTATCAACCACCACCTCACCCCTCCACCATCTCTCACTCAACTACAGCCCAGCCCGTCGTCAAAATGGCTGTCGATCAGGAGTCTTTCGTCCATCTCTCGCGCCCCCTTGCGCCCAACGTGCTTGGCTTCGGTGTCAGCAATGCCCCGCTTACCGTCAACATCCAACCTCAGGTACGTCAACAGCACCAATTTCCATACTACAGTCCTATATCTGCCCCTCCACTCCTATCTACCTAGTCCCCTACCTTGATGTCCCCCTTTGCGCATGTCAAGCTTACCTACCTACCTATATCCTCTCTACTACCCCGCCGTCACCACCACCACTACCACCACTACCATTGCCCAAGACCATACAACACCTAGCTGACATGTAGCCTCTCGCTTTCCTCACCAACTAGGCTGTCTTCTCCATCATCGACCATGCCGTCAGACGTGACGACCGCGACACCCAGTCGACACGGGTGATTGGTGCCCTCGTGGGTGTCCGCAGCGAGGACGGCAGCGAGGTCGAAGTCCGCTCCACCTTCGCCATCCCCCACACCGAGAACGAGGACCAGGTTGAGGTGGACGTCGAGTACCAGAAGAACATGCTGGCCCTGACGCTCAAGGCCAACCCCCGCGAGACCCTGCTGGGTTGGTACACCACCTCGCACGAGCTCAACAGCTTCAGCGCCCTGATCCAGAACTTCTTCGCCTCCCCCGAGACCGGCACCTTCCCCCACCCGGCCGTCCACCTGACCATCGGCACCGAGGCCGGCGCGACCATCGACACCAAGACGTACATCTCCGCTCCCGTGGCTGTCAGCCCCGAGCGCGCCGCCGAGTCGTGCCTCTTCATCGAGGTACCCCACAAGCTCCTCTTCACCGACGCCGAGCGCGGCGCCCTGGGCTCTGTCGCCGCCGCTGCCGACGCCGAGTCGCGCTCCGCCCCCGTCGTCTCCGACATTGAGAACCTCGCCCAGGCCCTCGAGACCGTCTCGGACCTGCTTGAGCGCGTTTCCGGCTTCGTCGGCGAGGTGCTCGACGAGGAGCGCGACGGCAACCACGCGCTCGGCCAGTACCTCATGAACGCCCTTTCCCTGGCTCCCAAGGTGTCCAACCTGGCCATCGAGAACGACTTCAACAACCACATCCAGGATGTCCTTATGGTCTCGTACCTCGCCAACACGATCCGCACCCAGATCGAGTTGTCCCAGCGCCTGGCCACTGCCAAGCTCGACGAGGGCAAGGAGGGCGGTGAGAAGAAGGATGGTGAGGGCGCTGAGGGCGACAAGAAGACCGACGGCCAGCGTGGCCAAAGGGGCCAGGGCGGCAAGCGTGGCGGTCGCAGCGGTGGTGCTGGTGGCCGCGGTGGCCGCGAGCAGAGGGAGCCCAGGGAACCTAGGGAAGCTGCCGAGTAAAGAGGACGAATTGGTGGAAAGAAAAGGGAAAGAGAAGAAGAGAAAGGACAGAGAGAATGAAACTCGTTCTTCCAGTATCTTCTTTTAATGAAAGGCCACTACACACAATCAGGCAGGGGAAAAGAAAAAGGTTCACACACACACAAAAAGGATCCGATTTCTCTTACAATGAGTCCCTTTTGCGCGCGTTTGATTCAGTCATCAGCCGTTTTTTACACGAGAAAGCGGGCTTCCCCATTCTATTTACTTCTCAACCTGTGCGGACTGGAGTTGTCTCGTCTGTCTGCCGTCTATACCCTGCTGTTTCGCTACAGCGTTATGAAGTGCGCGCGCGGTCTCGGTTGTCGGTTATCGATTTTGGAGAGGGGAGAGAGAGAAAAGGAAAGCGGGAAGGGTGAGAGAGGGTAAAAAAAAGGAGGGAGGGAAAGAGAGGTATGGGACGTCTTTGGTTGGGTCTCAAGCAATATGGCGTTCATAGGAATACTACTACTAGAGCCTTCTTACTCAGTCAGGTCAGCAGCATGATGAATTGATTTGGGAATTTTCTGTTTGAAAAGCAACAATCTATACAACGCTTGGATCGTCCCGAACCGCCCGTGCCATATGATTTCGGAAACATGAATGCGGATGACAGTTTCCATTGATTCCGGCCTTGCACCTTATCACTTTTCGTAGAAAACCGCGTTTGGGTTGACTGAATGAGAACCGACTGTGAGTGGATTTGATCGGGTCTTTGTCTGCTTGCCTGTCTCCTTTGCGCTATGCTGCCTGCCTGCCTGCCGTTCCTGAGTGCCCCAATTTTTCCATAGATTCCAGACCTAAACCTCCGTCTCTTTTCTCCTTCATGATGTCTTATGCACAGTAACATTAGGAGAGGATTCCATGCCAACAACCGTTAGTAACAGCTATATGCATATACAGTGCTCACTCGCTCCTCTTTCTTTTGCCGTTGTTCTATTCTCTTCTTCTTTGGGCCATGACTGAGGCCATCATGCCCCATGGGTTCAACGCTGCCACCCTGCCCTTGACCACATTGTCTCCCGCCGATCCTACATAGGAGGTTTCTGTGGCAATGAGGCAGGGTTTCCATATGTTGGGAGATGGCTGTAGCCTTGCGGTCCCGCTGGTCCGGTCGGCGGTGGTGGACCGCCTGCAACCTTGCTGTGGGCGATGTGGGGAGATGCGTTGGGGGGCATAGCATGATGCTGGGGTGGTGCGTGATGATACGGGCCCATTGAATTGTTCGACCCTTGCCTCGACATGGCATATCCCATCGGGCCGGGGCCATAGCCCGCCTGTGGTGGTGGCGGCATGGGTTGCTGGTAACCACCATAGTTCATGTGAGCCGGTAAGAACTGAGGGCTGCTATGGTTCGAGCTTGCATACGGACCCGATGGCGGTTGCATCGGGAGCATGGCGTTGCCGGGCAAAAATGATTGCGTCTTGGGGTTGAGCGTCTGCCGGTTGTAGCTGCCGGGAATTGGGTGTTGAGTTTTCGGATCGTTGGGGTTGGCATTCGCTGGAAGTTGTCCGTAGGCATACGGTATTCCTCCTGGGGAGGGACTCGATCGAGACGAATAGCCGGGACCGGGCTGGTTGAAGCCTTGCTGTGGCGGCCCCCATGCTGGCTGCGATACACTGGGCATGGGGGGAGTGTATGGCGGAGCAACTTGAGGGTTAGGTGGAGGTTGGTAACGATGTTGCTGTTGCACTGGTAAAGCCGGCTGGGGGACAGAGGGGGCGGGATACTGATGGTGAGTTAGAAAAGATGATCATATCTTAACGCCGACTTTTTGAAGATGACTTACGTTTGCCACTGCGCCATATTGAGGAGCATATCCGTTGTTTGGAACCATCTGCGGATACGCTTGGTTTTGCGGGTACGCTTGCTGGGGGACATATGCTTGTTGAGGCGCATACGTCGGGACCGCAGCTGGGTATGGTGCTTGATATTGGACGTTATATGGAACATTGTTGATGGGGTACGCCTGAGGTGCCGGTCCCCATGTTGACTGCTGAGGGCCTCCATAATAGACAACGTATTGAGACCGTGAGTCGAAACTTTCCGAATCATCGCGACGTTGCTTATTGGCCTTCTTCTTGCCGTTTGGTTTGTCCTTGGCAGATACCGAGCTCGCCCGAGAAACACCATTGGAGGTTTCACCGTCTACACTGCGTTAGTCTTATGATTCCTTATAGGTAGAGGAATTCCGCAGACGACATACCTTGACCCGAAGAATCAGATTCCTTCATGTTTCCAAAGATTCGCTGCCTCGCCCGGTTATACGCCTCTTCCCGCTCTTCCCTAGTCATTCTTTCCTTGCTAGCCGCAGGCTTATCTTTGGGGTCACTGCCAGCTTCCGACGTGGGCTTTGAAGGATTTGCGCTAGAAGGAGCAAATTCCCCGTCCTCACCACGCCGCATAATCTTCCTTGGTATCACAGCAGGAGCCGGAGAGCTGGTGTTAGAGGTCGACGGCGCAATGGTGGATAGTGGTGGAGGAATTCTACAGAATGGAGTTCTGTAAATGCGAACTGCGCCCGAGACCGCCTCATATGAATGGGTCATATGATAGTAGTCCGCAAGCTTATGGGTCAACATTCTCCAAAACGTATTGTTTGGTGGGAAATCCATAAACGGCTCCCTACAAAGACACTGCGTTAGCGACACAAAGACTTGACAGATGTGAGTGACAATCTACATACTTTGAATTTTCCACAAACTCAATGACTTGCTGTTCCATCTTCAAGAGACTGAACCGATCTTTCTCTGATCGCATGGCCTCTAAAAGCTTTTCATCCGGGTGCTGGCTTAGGAATCCTCCATTCGCCGTCAAGGCATCAGGGGCACCTGGACCGCTTGTTAGGGGCAGTTCCGTCTCCGCCGCTGGCTGTTTGTCAGATATGCCACTTTGAGGCGTAGCAAGGCCCAGTTGACCATGACTACCAGCCATGGCATGTGTAGTGATGGCCCGTGGGGGCATATCTCCGATTTGGATGCGGTGGATACGAGCCGCAACCTCGGAGCCCATTCGTGAGCCGTTGAAGTAGGATCCACGGATGGAAAAGGCATCATCGTCCTCAGTAGCAGCCTTCATGCTGGCACTGTCGTCTGGACGCAACGACTCCTTCTCGTCCAACGCGTTAAAGGTAGTCCCAGAAGTGATGCTCTTGCCATCCAAGCTTGGTGGCTTGGTGCCGAGCTCGGAGCTAGAGTCAGCCCTTGAATTATCGTCCGAGGGTGTCTGGCTGATCACAACCTTGTTAGGCATCGATATAGAGCTGGTCAATGGAACGTCGAAAGAGACATCTGATGTCTTGGTCTCGAGCTTCAAATTTCCGAGTCCGTCAACGGTGTTGTCCTGCGAAGCTTTCACCTCATCGGCAGTCCCTTGCGCAGGCTGGGGTGCGTGTACATCACTCTGGATCGAGACAGAGGCGGCGGCCACCATGATCGGGACCGCAACCTTGTCTCGGGCGGTCACCGGTGCGTTTGCTTTCGTAGCAGTTGCCATGGTAGCTGAGTCTTTGGATGCCGAAGCAGCTGCAACCTGGAGAGCACAAGTCAGACACAGTCTTCTGGGCGCAACGCCGGGTTCAAGGTGAAGAAAGCCCACGTACCTTTGCGAAAGATAGTTTGACGTCGTTGCCCGTGGATTGGAACGTCGCCATGGCTTTTGCGGTGTAAGGGATGCTGGAAGAGCAATGCGGATGATACAAAGAGTCGCGCAAGGAGCCGAGAGTGCCTCTATGCGTGTATGTTTGTCCGGTGAAGATCAGGGCGGTCGAAGAGAGAACGCGCTCGGCGGGTCGGATCCGGTAGAGGAATTCGATGATGTAGCTTTTTGATGGGACGGAATCCAGCTGAATCAAGAAACGAAACGGATCAAAGCGGCGCAAAGCGAAAGACGAGTGCTGGTGATCATTGTATTCGGGGGTCTGGTCAAGTGTAGGTAAGATGTGAATGCGCAAGTGTTGCAGCCAGTGCCAAAGTCGAGTCCCGGACTTCGTCTGCCTTGTTGCTTGTGTCGTGCCTCTTTTTTTTGGTCTTTTGCTGGGGCCTGTCGGTTTGGGGTTCCGGTTCGGTGCAGGTACGATGAAAAAGGCCGAGATCCAAAATGGCGGACCACAACGTGGAAAGCCGACGGCGCCCTAACACCCAGAAAACAGTAAAGTGTCTGGAAAGGGTGCCGCCACGGTTGGGCGGATAGACCTTTGGTGGTTGATGGGGAGCAGGAGGGGCGTGGTGTTGCTTCCCGTTTGTGTGGGTTTGGTTTGTGACGAGATAACTGAAAGTGGTGGAAGTCGATTAAAAGTGGTGGTTGCACCCAAAAGGAATCCATCGCCGGGCGGGAGCCGGGCTCCTCAGTCCTCAGGTGGCCGTGGGTCGGTCTAACTGCAGTGGGACTGCCACCATGTTGCAGGTACGGGTAGGGGACCGCCTGCCGTGGGCCACCGTGGGCCTGTCTATTGGCCTTATTTCTAGGTAGTAACTGAACGGTGTCAAAATCCCATCCTTTCCATTGCGCGGGAGCAAACGTGCTGTGTACCTTACCTCTAGGTATGTAGTGCGCTTCCTGATTTTGACAGGACCCTTGATTTTACCTACCTCTAGTGTACTATACGGTAAGGTAGGTACCTTGGATACTCAACCTATGTATGGCCTACAAACTTCATCTGGAGTTTATTCGACGGCGCTCATGAGGATACAAGCAGGTGCTCTACCGCTAGGTATTCATGCACACAAAGTACAGTGGCTCAGATATGGTTGATTGGGAGTATGACAAAAGGAGGGGAATGAGAGGGAACTGGTTGAGAGGGGTTCAGTATCTTGGCTGCAAAACCGGACAAAGTCGTAGCCATAAAAATTCGTGATTTTCAGTTTACAATACCAAGCTGGCCGAGATGGACGCCCCGTAACGCAACCTTTCAGAACTTCATCCATGCTTTCAGAACAAGATGACAACCCGAAGATCCAATGGGCTGTCTCGCACGGAGAGAGACTTGGCTCATTAAAACTACAGTGATCCTATTGATTATCTAGCTCTGCGCTGAAGGAAATGGAGGACACGGAGCGGCCCTTTTTCTGAAAAGCAGAAACAAGTGCCGGATGAGTGCTCCCATCGTCACCTGCAACACCCACCCCGGTTCAGTGTGCCACGACCGAAATGCTTCATCTTGGCAACGTCACGTGCCTCCACCTGTCGACAACGACAATCGCACTTGTGCTTGGACCTTTCTCAACTGTCAATTTCACCGCTGACACCTTGTTACACAACCCACCAATCAACCTCCGAATCTCATTCATTCACCAGAACTGGAACTCATCAAGTTCAACTTACCAACCAACGCCATCCTCAAGTATCAAAACCATCAAGAAGCTTCACATCTTTAATCGATCACTTCACAAGTTTGACCGAAATCATTTAACAAGCAACGACCTCTGGAATCGAACGGCACCCCGACCTGGTTGGCGTTGTAAATCAAGGAACAGCAGGTCGACGAGGACAGTTCACCTTGACTTTGCATAAAGCTCCAATTTCCAGGGGCCAGCCACATTCCAACAACCCTTCCGGTTACCACCATGTATCGAGGGCGCAATATACCGTCCAAATCAACTCCCTCAACCGTCCAATGCCAGAAATGCCTAAAGAGAGATAAGTGTTCTCTCTACTTCAACAATACATGTATAACACGCAGCTGACATTCCTAGAACGTCACTATTCGTATGAGTGTAAAGCCTCAGCTGCGGAACGGCCCTACATCCCGAGGCCGTCGCGCACCCAGCAGCTCTTTAACCCCAAGCTGTTACCCAAGCTTACTAGTGCCGTGCCGCCTCAGGACAAGAAAGGTGTGGCCGACGAGATTCTAGCCCAGAGGGAGGCTGAGCGGGCCAAGAAGAAGGAGCTGGAAAGGGACGACGAGTCACCATCTAGAGACGTGAGCCCAAGGCGAAGCAGGAGTAGATCGGCTTCTGTTGATTCGGTGTCGACCATCTCTACACGGTCTCCATCCCCAAGGCCTTCTCGCCATTCCAAGTCACCTCCACGGAGAGCACATGCGCAAGACTTCTTTGAGCCATCGCCTAAGGCGCCTTCGGCCCGCCAACGCTCGATCGACTCCCGGGGTCGGTATTCTAGCCGGAGGTCAGAGAGCCCGGTCAAGCACTCATCGCGGAAAGGGTCGCTGCCTCCTCGTCGTCGTTCGCCGTCGCCCCGCCGTGAGCGCGGACGTGACTCCGGGAGGGCAAGGCCATCCAGGCGCGACTATTCTGTTTCCGAGTCCAGATCCAGGTCACCAGTTCGCTCACCGGTCCGGCGAGACGGCAGAGGAGAAAATCACAGGGCAGGAGGATACTACCGGGACAGGGAAGATGGCCGTAGACAGCCGAGATACAGGAGTCCGTCGCCGCAACGACCTCCAAAGCGCGAACCGTCTCCTGCGCCACCGCCGCGCGAGCGGAGTCTCAGCCCTTTCAGCAAGAGATTAGCGTTGACACAGGCTATGAATAAGGGTAGATAGGATTTGCGGGGTGGGTATCAAAGTAGAGAATAGCATACTTTCTCTGTAAAAAAACAAAATCATAACAGTAATGCCCCCGAGATTTGGGAGCATATTTCGTCTTCGTCCTCGTTCTCTTCGACCTGTCGCCCCTCTCGGTTCCCCTCTCCCGTCCAACTTGACCGCCTAACTTGATCGCCTGAATTCAGCTGCTGTCAAGTCCCAACTCTTCAAGCCGCCAACTCGGCCTCCTCCAACTCCCTCTCTCTCCTCTCCTCCTCGGCCTCCTCCCTCTCCCTCAACTTCATCCCCTCCACCAGCGCCGTCCCCTCCAGCATACCGGCCTCCTCCTCCTCCTTTCCGTCTTTCGTCTTATCCTGCACAGCCGCTTGCTTCTTGGCTGCCAGCCGCTCCCTCACCATGCGCGCTATCGCGTTGTCCGTCCGCACGTTCAGCACCTCCATCTTCTGGTTCAGCTCCCGCTTCAGGTCCCAGTTAGGCTTCTTGGGCTGCAACTTGAACAGGTCGATGCCCTTGTTTTCTTCGGCGGCTTGCGCGTCCAAAGCAGCCTGCCGCTGCGCTTCCTCCTCGATATCGGCCGCTTGCTCTTCTAGTGTCGGTTTCTCGAGCGTCAGCGTGGGAGGCGCTTCAAAGCCTAGCTTGGGCCCGCGCGTTTCGAAGTCAAAGTTGCGCCCGGAGAGGTGGAGGCGGGCTACGTCGGCTGTTGGGGTGCCGTCTTTGGAGTTGGTTGTGGATTCTTGCTGGTTGTCGCCGTCGTCGTTGTGGTTGGTTTGTTGGGCTGGGGAATCGTGGGACTCTTCGCCATCGTCGAAAGAGGTGGGCTCGGGTTCTTTGCGCTTCAGAGACTTGAGCTTGGCTAGACGGGCCTTGCGGTCGTCAGCGGCGGCTGCGAGTGTCGCGTGGGATGACATTATTGGTTTGGGTGTCTTGTTTGTGTTGTTTGAAATGTTGTAGCTGAATCCCTTAACTCCAACCAATCTTGGATCAATTGCGTCTTGCGATTTCGGTACTGCGATGCACTGTTTGGGATGCCGTCGATAGATGGTGGAGGAGTGAGGTTCTGAAACTGTGGATCTCATTCAGTGACATGGAGGCAGGGCAGTGCAGTGCGACGCGCTCCCAAGGTCCCGCGTGGGGTGGTTCCCGGTGACGCTTGTGTTAAGCACGGACCGGGCTCGCTAAAGCTTAGCGCCTGCCGTCCCGAGATCCATCCCTGACGTGAGCTACAGGCCAGTAAAAAGCCGAGCGCATACTGCTAGGGAGGTAGAGGTATGTATGCCCTGTAGATCGCCCCTCCAGTCACTGTGCCGCGCATCTTATCACCGGATTTCCTGTCTTGTCAAAATTTTGGTCGTTTTTGATACTACGGCGACATCGCAACCCGACTCTGGTCGTCGAGTCGGAATCGGACTCCCCAACATACACATGACACATGATGCCAACATACGCTCCGTCATAGAGATCGTTTCCGCCTACGGCTCTATTTTGGTGCCGGCCCGTCGGCCTTCCGGAGAACCATGCAACAGGCTCCGTTCATATGCCGGTCATGTCTCTCCAACCTCCGACAACAAGGCGATCCGCTTCAGCTCCGGCTTGCCCTCCGTCCCCGGCCGCTGGTGCGTCCTGTTAGCTCTCTCGCGTCCTCGCCACCCGCCCAGCAGTCGTCGAGCCAGCCGAGGCCAGCCACCGAGTCAGAGGGAAATGAGCGCACATGCTCAGATTATTACGTACCATTGAAAGGATGGCTACACCAGTGGAAAGAGGACCGAAGGGTCCTCCAACTGAACGTCCGACGGAGTGACTATTACAGCAGCCTGGTAGACCTCTACCGTTGGAAGAGACGGTTCACCCAGATATGGGCGAAGAGAGCCTTGGATAGGAAACAGAGAGACAAACACCGAGACGAGGCCCTGCAGTCAGAGGGGCGCCCCGAGCTTCACATAATACAAGATCTACTTTGCCAGAGGGATGTCGACCACATGCGGCAAGCCTGGCAGCTCATACCCAAAAAGAGTCGAGTAAAGCTCTGGCGGCCGGTTATGGTCGACGCTCTCCACTGGTTCCCCGACCAAGCCCCGGACATCTTCCGGGCCATCTTTCAAAAAGACAAATCGAATTTCTACGCCATCGTCGACAGTTTCCTATACATGGCCGACTATCTGCAGAGGCTAAAAGGGCCTGTACAGTCGGAATACGGGAGGGCCGTTGCTGGGGCCTTGCTTCACTGCTACCACAAGACTCGGAAGCGCTACATCTGCCTACGACAAAATACCATCTACCATATACTGAGGCATGCCACAGTGGACCAGGTCTACGAGCTACTTGTGGCCATCAAAGAATACCGACAGCCATTACATGTCAACACGAAGCAACATTTTGTATGGTACTTGGCAAAGGAGCCAAAATACAAGCCGGCGGCTGCTGATCTGTTGCGTGAGATCATTCAGGATGGTCAGCTGGATGTCAACGGGCTGCATTGCGCCGCTCTGGCTACCGCCATCCTGACCTTTCCAAAGATTTCACCGGGAGATAAAGAGGACGGCGAGAACCTCCCAACGCTCCGCTCGCAACTAAACCAAGAGCTTTTGGAATTCGGACTTCAGCCCAACATCATCCACTACACAACTATTATCAGGAACCTTTGCGATAACAACGAACTGGAAACTGCGTGGCAGGTCTACGACCTTATGACCAGTCAGGGAGTCCAGCCAGATCTCCATTTCTATTCCCAGTTGCTGCACGGAGCTACGCTAGCAAATGACCACCGGAGCTTCCGCCGCATACTCGAACTCTTACCAAGTGAAGCGTCACAAGATCGCGTCATCATCAACGGTGTCCTCACCTTTATTCATACTACAACGGTTTGGGAGCTCCGAAAGCGGAAGATGAAGCCACCAGTCCCCATTCCAAGCTTTGAGTACATGTTTAGGACGTACTCCAAGATATTCGACCTTGGTCCTTTGCAAGCCCTGTTGAATATCGACCTACAAAGCTACACCGCAGAAACACACCAGCGAGAACTCGATGGAATGGCCCCTTCGTGGTCCGGCTGGCAGAGCATGCGATCGCTCAGGAACACCCTGGCCCTTATACCCGAACTCGAGGCCGAAGCACGTATTAAGCCAGGCAACGACACGCTCAACATCATGGTGACCTCCTTCATCCGCAACTTCTCCCAGCCCTCCAGCCTGATCGAGTTCTACTCCAACTTTCGCAACCGGCTCAAGCAGGGTGACCCGACCATTCTCGCCTTCGTCGCCACCAAGGGCACCATTATCCACGACACCATCATCAAGGCCATCCTCGAATGGCAAGGCACCAACATGGCCCTTGCCGCCCTCGACATCGTCAGCGACATGCTCAAGGACGCCGCCGCCTCCCGCGCGCTCTTCGACGCCGACCCGCAGAAGCCCGATCTAGAGCCCCGCCACCCGGCCCCGAGCATCTACACCTGGTCCGTCCTGCTGCACGGCTTCATGCACCGGCGCGAGCACCGCGAGCAGGGCGACCGCATTTTCAAGATGATGCGCGACCACGGCGTCGAAGCTAATCGCGTGACCTGGAACACGCTGATTGCCGGCCACGCCCGGCTGCAGGCCGTCGGCAAGACGGCGTCGGCGCTGCAGCGCATGGAAGCTGCGGAATATAAGCCTGATCGTTTTACGTTGAGGGCATTCAGCTACTTGCTCAATCGGGAGGGTGCGCTGCAGATGATGCAGCGGTTGGAGGATAAGAAGCAGAAGAGAAAGGCGGCGTTCGTGGCCAAGTTGACTGAGGCGGCTGCCCAGAACGAGAACTCTGAGGACATGTCCAAGATGCCTGATTGGATTGCGGCGCAGGACGAGTATAGGATTATGGAGGAGCAGCTGAGGGATATTAGCGAGAGCGTGGTGGTTGAGGAGTCGCTTGGTGAAAGAGGAGAAGAGAGGGAAGTGGTCAAGGCGGCGGAGGAGGAGTGGGAGGAGACGACGGGGGAAATTGAAGGGTTGGAAGCCTACAGGACGAGGAATGTCGCGAGTGCTTCAAGCAGCTTGTGATGCATAGTCCGGTTTCAGGCATGTATATATACTTACCTCTAGGTGTCGGCAGGCATGTAAGTTATGGGAGTCGGGGGGTTGGAGTTGTACAATATATCTTGGAAATACATGACATCGATCAACAACAGCATGTGAACACCACCATCCGCCCCGCATTTTTTAATACTTGCCCAACTTCCCTGGGATTTCCTGGTATTCGGCTTCCAGATGACGCAAAAAAACAAGATCGCGTACCGAATAGTCTCGTGAAACTCAGAATCCTTTTCAGGTAGAGTCAACTGTACTCCGTAGGGTTCGGTGCATATGAAGCAGCGTCGAAGTACATATGACAACCAAACTGGCGTTAACTTCATGTGATGCAAAGTTCTTGTAGTGTTTTGTGAGCCTAGCACTAATGCCTAAGTCTAGGTACACGATTCAACTACTTGAGACTATGATAATTGCCTCCTTGATGATTCGGCCGCAGGGGCCCGCCGGATCCTCCGATGGCCGCTTCGCTGTGTTCGGGTGTTATCCCGTCCTCCGAGCATTGCTCTTCATCGGAACAACGAGCGAAGAAGCATCCATCCCACCTCGAACAATATTCGTCGTCCATTGAAGGACTAGCACTGCCCGTCTACGACCAAATCAGCCGAGAGGGAGGTACCTTTACATAATCTCCCCAACTCGAAAAAAATCAAAGAAAGAGAACAAGAAGCAGATGAAGCCTACACTAGGGAATGACAACCTGCTCGACAACAAGATACCTATCACCCCTCTAGATGATTCGGCCGCAGGGGCCCGCCGGATCCTCCAATAGCCACTTCAACTGTCCAAGTGACATTCCGTTCCTCCAAGCACTACTCTCCATCCGAGCAACAATCGAAAAAGCAACAATGGACTCGAACACCTATCTCGCGTCCATTGAAGGACTAGCACTGCCCGTCTACGA